CTTCTGACCATATGAACAAATGATAGTATGTTCGACTAAAATTTGCATATGTTATGAGTGAATATGCTTTTTGTCTTTTCATGTAAGAAGAATGTCAGTCTAACTCAGCTGAAGTTGGTTATAGTTAAATAAGCCATGATCTTCAGGAAATTCTGCATTTAAAATGTCGCGTTTACCCCTGCTTTCATCTAGTAATCATTACAAACCTTCAGGATATTTGATTCATTAAAGATACCAAGTTTATTATTATATTCACCTACAATTAGTTTAGAATAGGGAAATGACCTGACTAATGTTTCCTTTTGAAGTTACACTTATCGGTGACTTTGTGATTCGAACTTAGACTATGGATTGGCATCAGTCAGGGAACCACTGGAAACCACGGAGTACTGGACATCTGTTTCATCATAGTTTGGAAATTTCCAACAGTACCCAGCTCTCTAAGTGATGCCACTCCATAGTCTTACTTGAAACAGATCAGAATGATATTTTAAAAATTATGTACAAACTCTTTCTAGACTTGATCATTCTTATAAAATATCGCAATATGCATAAGCTGCATAAAAGTAAGATTTCACTAAAATTTTATATATTCATTTCTGATGTTCGTTTAAACCTTTTTATGTCCTGAAAGTGATAAGCGCTTTTCGAATTTTACGTCACTAATGTCTTCATTTTATTTTCCTGTACAGTCTGCAAATGTAAATGCTTACTTGAAGACATCGATAAAGAACAACTTGATCAGGAGTATATTTCTAGACAATATACCTGCATAAGGACTTAAAGTGATTAAGCGAGTTGCTACTAGATGGTTGGAAGCACTTGGCAGGAAGCCGTGGACCTATTTTTCGCGCTTAGTGATGTTCATCAGCATAGCAAATCTACAAACTCGGAGAAACTCATATCCCTAACCACCACTGCAAAAAGACGAGTTTCCTAGTCTGGTGATAGTAATGCAGAAATGGCTGTTAGAATTCATTCAGTACCAAGGATCATTCCGTAGTGATTAGTCGACATATTAACCTGTTATTATATTATGCTAAAAGTGTCTTCTTACTGTGAATAATATTTTGCTTTTATTTGCCGTAATTCCATATTAGTTTGTTTATTAGATGTATCACACAGTGAAACAGTATTACTTACTGGATGACGTTTCGAACACAATTTATTGCTCATAATCACAGCATGAATTATAATCACACGACTTCGAAACTTGAGTTTTATAGTTTTCTTTGTCCTCTCCTATTTGTCGTCGTTGGGGAAGTAGAATTTTCCAGATATCAGGGACAGGTGTTGAATCATGTTTATTACATGTATTTGCAGTTGATTCGATAAACAAAGCTTCTGTTATCAATCTCTCCCTCCACCCTGTGACATTAGATTTTGAAACTGTCATCCTATCCCATCCTATTGTATGGTTGTGTGTAACTGCATGTAGTGATATAGCTGAAGTATTTTCTAGATTTCTTATCTTATTTGGGTCAACTAATCTAGATTTTGCTAGGTTTTTATGTTTGGCTAGTCTCACTGCCCCTGTTCTACTAGTTTGACCTATGTATTTGACCTGACAATCATTGCAGGATATTAGATAAACTAAATAGTTTTGTTTTAAAGGCTCCATAGGATTGGTCCTTTAACTTACAAAGCTTGTTACCAATTGAGTTTGTGAATTTGAATGCCAGCCAGTTTTATTCCTGCCTTGTTAAGAATTCTGCATTAGGTTCCCGTAGTTCCCTCCTTGTATGGAATTACTACTGGTGATGTTTATATACAAGGAAGGAACCTTGGAAACCTAATGCAGAATTCTTAACAAGGCAGGAATAAAACTGGCTGGCATTCAAATTCACAAACTCAATTGGTAACAAGCTTTGTAAGTTAAAGGACCAATCCTATGGAGCCTTTAAAACAAAACTATTTAGTTTATCTAATATCCTGCAATGATTGTCAGGTCAAATACATAGGTCAAACTAGTAGAACAGGGGCAGTGAGACTAGCCAAACATAAAAACCTAGCAAAATCTAGATTAGTTGACCCAAATAAGATAAGAAATCTAGAAAATACTTCAGCTATATCACTACATGCAGTTACACACAACCATACAATAGGATGGGATAGGATGACAGTTTCAAAATCTAATGTCACAGGGTGGAGGGAGAGATTGATAACAGAAGCTTTGTTTATCGAATCAACTGCAAATACATGTAATAAACATGATTCAACACCTGTCCCTGATATCTGGAAAATTCTACTACCTCTACGACAAATGCTCGTACAACCAAGTATAGGAACTCAACGATACCATATTTGGCCCGTGTTCTAGGTGACAGAGACAATGTTAAGCGCGAAACCTATGACTTGCTTTGTTGTTAATAACATAATTTTGGCCCTTTTATTTCTCCCTTATACTCTCTTATTTGTAATTTATAGTGAACAACCTTCTTAAACATACTTAGCTACCTAAAATTATTATCATTTTATTATTATTTTTTATTCTTTATTCTATTCCTTCTTTTATGTATTTACTGGTCCCGACTATATTAGCACTATGAGTATTACAAAATTGTCCTGCCAATAACCTTCATGTAATATGAGATTTGTGATTGTTTTTTTTTTGTTCGGCAATATTAAAACTGACAATCATGGTTGTGAACGCCGTTATCACCATCCTAAAATTTTTGTATTATGCATGATTACTCGCACTACCACAAAAAACACTGCATTTGTGCTGACAATAAAAATAAAAATCCTGAAATGTTTATTTTATGATTGTTTAGTGTTGTTCAATCAAATTAACTGATCATCTTGGCTATAAACATTCTTAAGAACATTTCATAACTTCTTGTATGATTATAGCTGTTACTGTTCACCACGCATACACATATCATAGCTTCCACTACCAAATACTGAAATATTATTCATTATTGATGTTCATCTTCCTTTCTACTTGGTATTTTTACTTGCATTTTTTGCTGTTATTTTTTGTGTCTCTTTTTGGTTTTTGTTGCTGTTTTTTATATTGATTTTTTTGTAATACTCCTTGTAAATGTGCGATGAAATTAGATGCAATATTGTAGATATGTGCTGAAAATTCCACACTGTACCACAAGTACTGTTTCTGGAATAAAAACAAAATTATTATTATTAGGAGAAGACAAAGAAAACTATAAAACTCAAGTTTCGAAGTCGTGTGATTATAATTCATGCTGTGATTATGAGCAATAAATTGTGTTCGAAACGTCATCCAGTAAGTAATACTGTTTCACTGTGTGATACATCTAATAAACAAACTAATATGGAATTACTTACTACCACAATGCCCAAGTTTTACACATATATTTATGTGCTGTAATTGCAGTAGGTTTCGGTATATTTTAATATGTTAAATACCGGTAAGTCTGTTTTCAATGTTTCGCAAAACAAACTTAACGTTTTAAGTTCATCTGTAAATTATATTATGAACTTCTGTAGAAATTTCGCCTCACAAAGAGTATGACAATCCACCCACATTCAGTGCATCATGAGCCAATCTGGTGTTTGGAAGTAAGATATTTTTGAGTTTGCACTAGATGTAACGCTGCTTTTGCAAATATCGACGATTAAAGACGTGATAATAAACCTAGTTCTCATCCATTTAGCATATTTTAAGGAGAAGAAAAGCAGTTAGAACAAAATATGTTTTCTATTTAATGTGTTGGTTTATGGAGACTCAAGTGCTTTTTAGATTTCATCACGGATGGACGTCAGTCAGAGAGCTGTTGAGAACCAGGGAGTACTGAAAACGTGTTGGGTCCAAGTTTGGGATGAACTAGCGTGACCACATATTGTCGAAAGCAAGGACTTCTGCCGCGATGATCGATATGTCTGCAAATAGTTATGCGTCACTGAGAAAAACTAATTTTATTAGGGAGTAATACAATATATATATATATATATATATATATATATATATATATTTAAACACTACCTGAGAAGCATATGTATACATGTAATTACTTGAAATTGGGCAAAATTGGGGGTGCATAACAAGAACGACCCATGAATTCTAAATTCTATCACTTCATAATGTTTTGCACCACCTGAAAGCAGTGTTTAGAACGATGTATGTTAGGCTGAAGTCTCAGTAGGAACACTATCACTCAGTGACGATGTACGTATATTCAGTGAAGAGTCCCAAACAGGACGAAAACAACATCCTGGGTTCCACTGCCAGTTATTTTGAGCCATGAAACATAATATTAACCTTTTACATCATGCTACTAGAAGTCCGTTTGTCAACAGAGACAGGCCATTTTGGTTCAAAATAATAGTGGGTCATCGCTGATGACTGCATATTTGTAAACGAAATCTACAGTGGTAACAATATGTGAGTCAGGTCACTTACGTATCGCAGTTTCAAAGTTGTGATGAAATCTACTATCGGATAAAGAAACTTTTAACTTATCATCAGGTATGAGATGAAGGGGAATCGTATTTCGATGATGAAGTAAAGTTATTATAGTTTGAGTTCTGGGAAGCTTGGAGTAATTAGATTAAAATATTACTATGTATTCCTTGCATTCCAAGTGTAACGTATGAACTCAAGCAACACATCTTTCCTGTCATAACTTTCAGTTGGTACCACGACTGCCTACAAGCTTTTATTTCCTCTTCACGTAACCACCTCCAGACTGGAATCTGAATATATTGCATTTATTAATTCGCCGTATGATTATCTCACATTTTTTCTATTCACAAATTGTATTCGTATTCAAATAAATTTGTTGATCAATGTTCATCATGTATAAATTACCCATTTCACAAGGATGTTCAGAAATAAATTTATCACTTTACAGATGAGTTGATACATTTTGTCATGTGACTACATCGATCAAAATATTTCAAATATACATGATTAACAAAATACATAAATGTTCATTCATGTTTATACCGTTATGTGTAGTCGGTTATTGCAATTTATGACTTACAGAAAATAAACACTCATAATATCATTTCATAAAACAATGTCAAGCCCATCAGATACGAATGATCACCTTATAGCTCAACCACCCAAAGAATATGAAGCTCTTCATGTTGAATCACAAACTGAAGTTGCTAGCAGTGCAGCTTATCAGTCAATTGATGAACAGTTTCATTTAGGAAAATTAACAAGCACTGAAGTTGCTATGCTTAAAGCACGTTATGTAAAGCTATATGAAGCGTTAAAAAAGTAAGTATTTGTATGTATTACTGAAATAAAGAGCAAATCTTGCAATTTAGAAAAAGAAATATAAGAAGAGCTTACCAAGATCTCTTGAATACACTCCACTATCAAAACTCACCTCTCTCTTGTGTAAGATGTACTACGTACACACCAGTGTGTTTAAGCAAAGATTACTGTCAGAAACACTAATTTAATCAATAACTCGATGCCATCCGTTAAAGAACATTCAAGATATAGATGCAACAATAATAGTTGTCACGAAATGACTACATTTAAACAGCCTGTGGACACTGAAAAGCTGTTTCGCCCCATTTCGAGACTCTTCATCAGCACACACATGATCCCATAGTAGATCAAACTTGGAATCATGCAGGTCTCTACAAACCAACACTTGAAAAGTAATGAATACGATAGAGAACAACGATCGCGAAGTTTATTGGCTAGCTATCTTGCTCTCGACTTCTCTAGAATTCCCTCTTCGCCTACAAGAAAGTGTGTGAGCAGAGAAAGAAAGCTATATCATGCGCAAATCTGAGCAGGCTTGATGCGTTTGGAAATAATTTAATCTGACGACCAGAAACGGGAAGCAAATTGATTTAGAAAGTTAAGTACATCAATTTGATTTGGAATCCCGTGTCGTTTTATGCAGGAATATAAACCATGACTGCAGAATATGAAAAATGTCGAAAGGATAAGGAAATATATTATAAATACTACTGTCCTAATGTCTTTATATAATGGTCAGTGCACTTTTATATATGACAAAACAAACATGCAAAGTAAGTCAAGGTATAATTGGTCAAAATATGTAAGATATCATGCGGTACATTATATAAAATGAAGTTTCTAACTTCGTGTGCACTAACTGGACTGCCCAGTTATAATGCTTTACGTCTCAAAGGCCCGTAATCTCAGACTGTTAGTAATGTAGCTCAATTGTAACAGGCAGCATATCGTTTCTGAGGTACGAAACGTCTCTCAGTAATTCTTGCTAGTCTCCTCAGTTTTAACATTTCTTTATATATATATATATATATATATATATATATATATATATATATAATATTTCTATTTTCAGAACTAGAGACAATGAATTTAATCTAATTCAACTGACGAAACGATTCATTAGTGAAATAGAAAGCCAACACAGTGAATTAGCCAAAGCTGATCTCTTCCCTGATAATGCATTAACTGAACCATCGCAGTTACGGGCACAGATTTTAAGCCATTATAATACAGCTATGGAGACAGATGAACGTGTTGAAATGTTACTTTATGAAGCTGGTTTACTACGCGAAGAACGTAAGCTGTTGAGTCGAGATTATTCGCGTTTACCAACATCTGAAGTAAGTGCTTGAAGAAGGCTGCTTCAAATGCGAACATTATGTCATTTTTTTTAAGTTTATCAATGCATAAATAGGTGAATAAAAGCTGCACGAAACAACTAAAGTAAATGCTCTGAGCATATTGAAATATTAGCTACTTAATAAGATTATATTTCAGGACTTAAATCTGATTGAGAGAAGCTAATTGATATTCATTTTGCAAAACAAAAGGAAAACAAGAGATTGGCGTATTCGGAAAATAATATAGGCATTCCTGTTATTGCTATTGATGTGTGCCAATGGACTTCGAAAATTCCGAAAGTAGTATTTAGCCATATGCTTCGGGCATTTTTCGCAGACGATTACTAGCACTGTCGTGATTGGAAAGTTCACAGACTGGCAAAACCTTTGAAGATACTCCAAATACTGCTGCTTTAGCTTAACTTTGATGAATTCTGCAGGGAAGAAACAAATTTGTAAGAAACTTGGGAGCACGTTAGAAGGTTGCTTCATTTTATTGGAACATTCATAAAGAATTCATTGAGAGAATGGGAGAATTTGAGGACAAATGGTTCTATTTCCATGTTTGATTTGCAGGAATTTGTTTGATTTCAACTTAAACCACGGATTGACATCAATTAGAGAGTCATTTACAACGAGAGCAGTGGCTCATGTTTCGTCCTAGTTTGGGACTTTTCGGTAAGGTCGTGGTTTCTATCCCTAGTGGGATCTTTGATGAGTACTGATAAGCAATTGAAAGCCAGGACAAAACGCCTACCCAGTACTTTCTGGTTCTCTAAATGAAATCAGTTAGCTACCAAACTTGAGATAAATCGTTTTGTTTTAACTCCTTATACGCCATGTTATGAAAGTTAAAATAATAGCAAAACATGAAGAACATTTCTTCCTTTTATTTGATGTTAAACTGAGGTGTACATTCAAAGTTCTGCATTGTTATTATTAATATTATTTGAATTACTGAAATATTACTGATTCGAAAGCGTAGACCTCGGTATGCTATTTTTGAAAATAAAACGACTATCATTGAAGTGACATAAGATTTATGAATGCCAGTCTGTTAAGCATGAAACATTTTGTTAACAAACAAATTCAGACTTATTGTATACTACTAAAATGTATTCTGTTTTGAATATTCCGTAATACAAGCATACACATTTATTCATGTGTGAAAATTATAAGAAGTGGAAAAGTGGAGACTGTAGACACAACTATGTATTGAAACCAAGTCCAGATGTAATAGTCTGAAATACTACGGATAGTGGATGTACGATGTTCATTATAATAAATAAAAAACTTGCATTTCTCAATTACTGAATAAGAAATTGTTTTTACTGATGTTTCATGACTTAATGCTAATAGCTTTATCAAAGTAGTAATAAAACAGGATTTACCTATACACTACAGCCTAATCATAAGTCTTCTGAATGAGATTATTCTTCTTTGTCATTGGACGAATCGGTAAAGATAACAAAACGTATGCAGATTACTGGTACGGACAAATGTATGCATAGAACAAATAGCATGTGCTTACATCATGAAAATGCTTATCACATTTGGGGTAATTTTTTCAACTGATGGAGTGAGGTTTATGATTAGGGGCAAACTTATTCATTTCATACAATTTGAATTTCATTCAACAACTAGTGCTTCTGATATGATACATTTCTTGCGGTTGTTTTAATGATTCCGCATGTGTGCGTCGGTGGCACAGTGGTTAGGACTCTCACCGACCATGCATATGGTCCGGGGTTCGAGCCCACGCCGGCGCACACCTGATATCTATGGTCGGCCTGCAAAATTTGGGCTACCGATATCCATGCTGAAAATTCCATACTTGTACCAAAAATACAGTGTGGAATCAAGCTGTAAATCAAAAATAAAAAAATAAAAATAAATTTCAGTACTATCAAAATCAGTCTTGTGGCGTGACTTTGTAGTATGTAAGCTTTTCTAGCTCCATTAGGTTTGTCGGTGGTCTAATGGAAGCTTTACGGTATTCGTTTCTTCTGACTTTGATTTCTTCAGGTACATTTTGCATGATATTATCAGCATTTTATCTCACAGAAACAGACTGTGAATCCTTCGGAATTCGGTTTCTAATATGCATAAGACTGTTTGATCTCATGCGATGTGTTCGATGTATATGGCGTAAAACGTCTGGTAGTTCCCCTTTTTGGGAGTACGCCTCTAGTGGTGTTTAAAGTTGTTGCCGATTATGTGAATAAATTTCTTCGGATAGTTATTTTTCGAAAATTTCGATCATATTTAATATTTCTTCTTTTTCATTTCATTTCGTTCTCAAATTTTGCCGAAATTCTCAAGGAAAATAACTATCATCCAAAGAATTTTATTCACAAAACCAATGGCAACATTGAAACGATCCGGTGTCTCCACCTTCAAATTCATCCACTAGGCCGGGATCTCAATAAACTCTAAATTTTGTCGGTTCCCTATATCACACGTGCCATCACTACCCAATGTCATGAGTGAATATCTTTCCCAACAAGCAACTTGGTGAATCCCACCTATCAGCTTCCTATCGAAATTCTAGAAATAGCATCCCGCAGTGTTTGTTTGTGGGGATTAGATTGATCTCACGGTAGAATTTGTCACAAACATAGTTGACATTTTATCGAAACGGTTCTACACAGTACTATTTCTTGAAGGAAGATTTCTAACTGACATTGAAGAATATTCATTCCCATTGTAGGTCAGGTCTTCGACTTATTGAAAGTACGCCGAATTATTTCATTTGGATATATTCCAGATATATAAAAATCTGTTCAGGATCTTTTGAAATTCCTTGGAAATCAATACAGTTGATAAAACAAAAAAATAAATCATAACTGAGCTAGTGGACATTATCTTAATTCCATATAACGATGAATTATTGAGAATGCTCAGATAAAACACTCAGCATCATAAAGATATTAATCACTCAATATTGTTTATTATTATTATTTTTTTTACTCTTATAGCTGGAAAATCTTGGTGATGATATGAGTATATTTCAGGTAATTTTATCCTTCTTCTCTGTTCTACTAATTTATATATATATAATATTCACACAAAATACATTCAGATACATTAATTTACTAGATAACACAGACTTTATCAGTTTCTGTGCAGCTTTCTCTAACTGGTGGAATTTTATACTGAAAATGTGTTGAACTAAACTGAATTTCTAACGTACACTTTTGCACATGAGGGCAAAAGATCAGGTTGCTGCACATCATAAAGCACACGTAGTGATAGATAATAATAATTATAACAATAATAATAATGCAGAGGAATGATACTGAACAGAAATGTGTCATAGAAAGAATTGATAACATAGAGAGTAGAGAGAACTGAATAGATCTACAGGACCCCATACAGTGAATGCATCTGTTCCGTCTTCCGTCTTAAGTGCTACAATGTAGTGAGTAATAATGAGGTTGGCCTTAGAGTTTTAAATAAGGAGGGTAATTCAGCCGATGAAGTTATGAAGCTGCATCGATTGATATGGCTAGGACACGTGTTGAGCATGTCGAGCCATAGGTTTTGTCAACGAGAAATGTTAGCCGACACGGAATTAGGTCGGAAAACAGTTAGAGGTGGTCAAGACGAAACCTGGTATCAGTCAGTGAAGTCTTTGAGAGTTGGCGTGAGCCACATAGGAGGGTGTAGGCTACCCGATTGGGATCCTCGTTATTCTAAGAACCAACGGTTGTAGACTACAGTGACTCTTAACAAACATCAGTTATCTAGAATAATCTGTGGGTAGATTTTTATCCAATTCGTCTTACTTTTCTTGAGGTATCCGCATTTATATTTTTGTTTTCCCATGGTATACCAGATCATTTTCTGTAGAACATCTATTCCGCCTCCTATGTATTATAGTCAGTAGGCAGTTATGCTAGAGACCATGAAAAGATATTGGCTTGTATTATCATTATTTTGAGATCCAATATTATCATTCAAGTAAATAACTAACATGTATTTGAGGATGCAAATTAAGTCAGTCAACATGATTTTTGAAGTATAACTGAATACTGTACTTACGCCTATGATTACAGGAAATTCACCCGTTTTAACTCTAGATACTGAAAAGCTTGAAATATGTCACCTGATCGTGCCGATTAACTATATTTACATAAGTGAACTGTCCTCGGATTCAATATTTTGGAGTTACAAAAACATAATTCCATTAATCACACTCACAAAGTATTGAAAGTAAAACTCTTTAGAACAAAGTTCAGAAATTGAGAGTTTACGAAGGTGGCCAAATAGGATAATTAGCCTTAATCTTCAGTCGAAATTAATGAAAGTAATAAAAGTTCACCAGCCGAATGAAACAGAACTTAGATTGGGAGCAGAAATACATTTGGTTATCAGGCCAAATAGAAGTGAAACTAAAGCTACTTACACCATAAAAGTTGGTGTTATCTCGAACAACTATTTATTATGTATGAACATTTGGGCTCTGAAACAACTTCTTGAGGCCGACCATACTCAGCCTATCTACATGAACTAAGATTTATGGTCCTTCTATGCGACGAACTTAACGCAGGTGACGGCATTTGAGTTTACATTCTGATTTTTTAGACGCTTTATTTCTTCTGAGAAGAACAAAGTCGAAATACTAGTCATTAGAATGAAGAATCTTGCAGTCATCACAACTTTTTCACCCAGTGGTTACGTTCATCTACATACTTTTGTTTGACTGGAGACTAGTAACTAGTGTGAAATGTCTAGTCCTTCGTTTGGTGCAAACTGAATTCTATCAGTTAGGTTTGCAATGTGATCACCATTCTAGGTAGCTTGCCATCACGGTGTACATTTATTCGGTACTATCAGATAGTTAGAGGCATAGGCAGGTTTCGTGATAGTTGGCAGTCGTCAGCAGTAGCATTGTGAGACAAATCTCAGAAGGGAAATGAGTTTCTTCAAGGATACAGATGCGCCTTACTGACGAGTGCCAGCTAGCACAAAACCTAGGTTCAAGGCTTCCTTCCGATTGCCTCCAACCATCTAATAACACACTTTGTTTGTTTGTAGCATAACAGTAAGAGTTTTTATTCAGTTCATCATTCATCAGGCACTTAGCGTGTTACAACGTAAGGAGTTGGCGCTGAAAAAGTTGTCCAGAAAGACTGTGAAAACTTCGCAGTTGAGCATTCTAGCCTAGACAACACAACAACAAAAAATAAGATAAATGTTACTTCAAGTGGAAGTTTGCCACTTGAAAGAACGGATCAGTCCTCTGTTGAAGTTTTCACTGATCATGCCTAAAATGATGCAGTGAGAACTGCTTAGTCTTCGTATAAAGTGGTAATCAATAGACCATACTCGAAGAGGTGAAAATCTTTTCACAAGGCAAGATGGGTCAAATTTGCATCATAAAATGGTATCATCCTATTTCACAGTTCTTCATCATCTGCAAACTAACTGAAACTACAGTGGTTATAAGAGAATGAAGATAACATACTTCATTGCTTGAATCATAATGGAGAAAATTTTATAAAACTTAAGGCATCCGAAATATAAGCATTACAATTTTTAGTTCAAGTTGCTATCAATTTATGATGCCTCCCACAGTAGAAGAGAAGCAGGGTGAGAAGTATATAGAAAAATCTAATAAATGGTGTTAGGTTGTAAGTCCGCGTAGCAACTCAAAAAAATTATAGCTAACAAGATTCAGATTTGCTCAGTGGGCTGAAATAGGATAACTAATCCATGCAATTAAAATGCACTTACCAAGGGAGCTAGAGGGTGATCACATATTCTAACACATAAGTTTGATTTGAAACTTTTGATTGCAGCTGCTTCTGCAAATTGCAGTAAATTTGATGTCCTCTGTTTATTTAATATTTGGAAATCTTGACAAAATGCACCGTATACAAAATGATGCCTGGTAATTGAAATTTGAGAATATTCGCTACCCTTTAAGCATAAGTTTCTCAGAATATACTCATAAAACTGGAAAGAAACCCTTCTTTTAGTCCTTCCAATGAACTTTCTACAGCAGGAACACGTAAATTTATAAATGCAGTTGGATTCGACATTAGCAGACATATAAACTTATTATTATTTTTGCTCCCTTGGATTCCTAGTGGAACATAGGGCTTCAACTGCACGTCTCCACTTGCTTCTGTCTTTTGCTGTATTTTTCACCTGCATCCATGTTAGTCCATACTCTTTCAACTCCTCTTCACACGACCTCCTCCATGCTACTCACCCTTGGACGTCCCACTCGCCACTTCCCTTTCGGCCTGGTTCCACTCGAGCAATGGCCTGACGCGCGCACTATTTCACCCAGTGGCCTCCTCAGCGAATGTCCAATCCATCGCCACTTTTTCCTGCATATTTGTTGGTTGGCGATTGGTTTGTTCTTGTTTTGTTTGTTCCCATAGTTTCTTGTTGGTGATTCGTTCCGGCCCGGTCATCTGATCTTCAGTATAGAGCAAAGACAGTTGTTGATAAATGTCTGCAACCTGTTGGAAATATTCTTTGTGACCCACCCGCCAAGTTTCTGATCCGTATAGAAGAACTGACTGACTTGACGTTTGTATTGAAAATCCGACTGAATTTTGTTGTTGATGCTGAGTGACGAAGATTTCCAGATTGGTTATAGGTTGGTGAATGTGTTTCTCGCCTTCCGGATTCTCGCTCGATTTGACATCCTCGTCCGTTCCTCCTGTAGTTGAGATAATGCTCCCTAGATAAGTGAATGGAGTAACCTCTTTCAAATCCCTCCCGTTGATGGTGATTGGCGATGGATGGATGTTGCTGCTGTTGTTGTTGTTGGCTGGTTATTTTCATAACCTCCGTCTTGTCTATGTTCACATGGAGTCCTGTCTTTGCTGCTTCTTCAACCAGTTTGTCCGTTTTCGCCTGTAAGTCTTCGATTTTGTGTGACATCAAACATAAATCATCCGGGAAATCCAGGTCTTCTAGGTCCCTATAAACTTAAGGTAACTTTAACTAAAGATTGCATTGCTTACATTTTGGATGCCTTAATTTTTAAAGCATTTTATCCATTACCACTGTAATTTCAGGTAGTCTGCAGCTGATGAAGACCTATAAAACAGGATGATGTCGCTTTATGCTGCATATCTGGTTTTTCTTGCTTTGTCAGAATTTACTAAGGGAATCATGTATGTGAAATGGTACTCTTGTAATTTATTCTTTTACAACTAAAATACTTTGAGGATCTGGATTAATCTATCTCATTGGCTCCTGTTTTTGTATCACCTTACACAATAAAAGGTCGTCTTCTTATTGTTCATATCAGCTGATTCATTTAGATAAGTTAATTTGAGTAAAAAGATGAAAGCATTTATGAATCTTTCTTTCCAAAATATGTTTATGTATTTGCATGTAACTGTTGTTAAATTTTATGGTAATATTTTTATAAATCTATACTAATCAAGTACTTATGATTGCTCTGTCAAATAGAAACAAAGACAATTACTTGTTGTTCACTACAATCTCCTGAGTTATAAACAAAGAATGCACTGAAAAACCATTCTGTTATGTGACTTTAACAGGGGTCTTTTGATAAAGGTGTTTAACAGAACCTGTAGAATTCATGTAAACAATAAGAAAACGCTTGGTATTTGCCTTTAAATGCTTAGAAATAACACCCTGATCACTGCTCTTCTTGTTGTAAGAATATGAATAAAAACAATAAACGAGGTAGATTTCAAAAGAGACGGTTATATGCTGAGATAAATACGATTTAACTAGTTTGACATTCTTTCATCAGATAATGAATTTCTGTAGAGAAAATATCAACTCTTACTTCTCATGAATTTTAGAAGTGGTCTGTTATGCATATTTTTCAAACATTCATTTACTTATCTAACTTTATTTCTTTTGTTTATAAAAAGTGACAGTTTATGTTGCATGTTTGTTTCACAAATTATTCTGCTTTTATCAGTAGACAGTGATAAGTACTTTTAAAGGTTTTGTTTGTTTAATTTAAGGAAATGGAAAGACGAGTTAAATTACTCCAGGGACAATGTCAAGAATTATGGCTTGAAATTGATGTACTCAAAATGGAAGGAAAGCGTACAAGAGAGCTGTATAGGCAAACTTCTGAAACAGAACAAGATTTAATCAATGAGCATACCGAAGCGCTTTCACGCTTAAGCGACGTTAAAGTAAGAAAAAGTGATCAGTTACATTGACCATTCAGGGGGAAAGTTTGCTTTTATGAGAATAATTTAATTTACAGGCAGCATTCCTTATTATATATATATATATATATATATTATGGAGAAGATTTGTAGCCCAGGTGGATGATATTTATTTAGTTGTGTTCTCAGAGCTGGTTGATCTAATTGCCAAGCTTTCGTCGTCATTCCAGACAACATCTTCAGCGCAGGATTTTTTTATACTAAAATCTGCGCTGAAGATGTTGTCTGGAATGACGACGAAAGCTTGGCAATTAGATCAACCAGCTCTGAGAACACAACTAATTTAGAACAACAGGCAAAAGGCAAAACACGGAAACAAACGTATATTCTCAACTAATCAAACCAATCACTGAGCGTGTGATTTCGGTTTACACTAAAGGATATGAAATAGAATGTTCAAATACATATCGTATCATGTTGCTAATACAGTACTGAACTGTGAGAATATGTGAGATTAATATTCCGTTGGAACACATTGTCTGTGTCACACCACCACAGAGTGTTTCGATTTAATTTTCTTTTAACAGTAAACTCAGCGAATTAACACTTCAGTGAAAAACACGATGAGCTACATCTACTGGTTAAATATAAGCACACACAACGTATCCATCTACGTACCCAGTACAATCTGTGTCTCTCTGGTCTCGTTTTTTTACACATTTTTTATGTAGGTTGTTAAGCATTGGGAGAGTAATTCTTTCCATTCGTAAAAGTTCATTGCTGCATAATAAAAGTAATGACTAATAGATAGATATAGTATTTTTTATTAGAGAAATGATAATTTTTGAAGCAAATTTATTTGCAGTTTTATTAATAAATCAAAAATGAACTTCTTATTCAGGCTGAATGGGTTGTAGCAACAGATTTGCCTGGACAGTATTCTAAAGAAACTGAGAAAGCTCGTAAATACAAATCGTAAGTAAAACAAATTGAAAATTAATCCATTCTATTATTAGAAATGCTGAAAAGGATTTACAATTGCGAAGAGAAGAACATATTTCTCTTCAGAATACTCGAGCAGACTACGAAGAGTTGCTGAGAAAAGCCGAAATGACTAGAGAAAGATTACGAGAGTAAGATTGTTACTATTTTTTGTAGAGAATGTATGGAAGGTGAATATAATAAAATACTTAAACTAATAATGATTATAAAAATGAAGTGAATCAAAAGACTGAGTTTGTTTAGATATAAGATATTCTCCAACAACCATATGAATTACCTCGAAAGCGTTAATAATTTATATATTTTAACTCATAACTGGCTATAATTCAGAATATGGATGCCTAGACTTAATTGTTCTTTATTACTAGAAAGAACTTCTATTCAGACATTTAGAATACAGAATGTTCTTTTCGATAACTTTTTAATCTGACTTTACAGTTCTGCTTACGTAGTACTTAAGGACGCTGATATTTTAATCAGAAGATGGATAACTTTTATTATTACACTATCAATATAAGCTTACCAAATGTATCCTTACTTCACAATACACCTCAGTAGGCCTATTTTACTGTAGGTGTAATTAAAAGCTAGAAAAGTGATAATTTACTTTTGAAATGCGTCGGTGACACAGTGGGTAGGACGCTCGCTGACCATGTGCGTGGTCCCGGTTTCGATCCCGGCCCAAATCACACCTGATACCAATGGTTTGCCAGCTAAATTTGGGCTACAGATATCACATGCTGAAAATTCCATATTTGTACAAAAATATTGTGTGGAATCAAGTTATAATGAAAATATAAAAATAGAGTAAAGTTATTTTCGCCAGGTGACCATCTGTTCCCTCAGCAATGTTTCTCACAAATTCACTGAAAAAAGAAGATATTTAGAATGAAATCAACTCACTTCTCATCTCATTATCGTTCTGATTGTTGTGGAAAGAAATACTGTTGTATAGAATAGATTCTAATACAGGGATTTAAAGCAACTGTCAATGGAGACTGTGGAAATACAGCTTGATAAATGTACATCCAACTGCTGAATTCATGGAAAAGCCAAATACTTAAGCATTCACTAATTGTATTTTTCACACCAGGTTTTGAACGTGTATCAGTACTACAGTCAATTATTCTTTATTATTTTTTTAATAGGGATTTAAGTATTATCCGTCAGACAATATTAGACAAAAAACAATCTTTGGAAGATTCAAATAAATTATACGACAACTGGTTTGAAATGGAAATGATGAATCGTACCGAAAAGTAAGTCAAGATAGTACAATTATAACAACAACAACAACAACAAATAATAATAGTAATAATAATAATCTATGAGAGACAAGTTACTCCTGTTATGAATATCTCATTATTTTTTGCACAAAGTGTAAATATTTAGATAAAGGAATTCTATAAGGACTCTTTCAAAGTTTCCGGGAATACATTTAAAGCGGGTGATTCTTTTTGTAGATGTTCAAACCGAGTTCCAGTGAAATATGTTTCTGTTAAATTTCCTCTAATTTTACAATACAAGTTTTTAAAGTTTCATATAACTGCATAGAGTTACAATTTAATAGTACACCTCTAGTTGGTTGAAAGTAAGTAGTGTACCTTAATTTCATACTGTTGAAATACGTAAGAAAGATGCAACTGCAACTTTGAAGAAACTCATTTCCCTTCAGTGATTTGAATCTGCGTCTCTTGGATTCCATTTTGTACGGCGGTCACATTGCAAACGTAACTGATAGAAATCAGTCTGCACCGACGACAGAACTAGACACACTACACTAGTTACTGACTAGTGTCCAATCAAAACTATTCAATACAGTTCTACAGGAGGTCAATCGCGAGCCCGCATAGCTCATTGGTAACTTCTCTGACTGAAGCACCGGGTGGCGCGGGTTCGAATCTCAGAAGGGACATGAGTTCGTTCTGAGTTCTTTCAAGGTCGCAAATAAGCCTTGCTTACGAATGCCAACTAGCACGAAACCTAGGTGCAAGGCTCCCTGCTGATTGTCTCCAACCATCTAATATCACATTACTTTTATTCATATCTTCCTTTTTCACCATACTGTTAGGTTCCTGTTGGCTTCTTTTTCTGTACAGATAACTTAGTCTCTGTTAAAGTTTTGCTTCTTAATTAGTTGTTCAGTGCACATCTCTTATAACTGATTTGGACGTCTAGTTAGAATCTGTGGTATATTTTTGTTTGGCCTTGTGTGAGCCACCTGCTGTTTTAAGAACTGTTCAGTTCTTTTTTTATCTGCTCATAAAATATTCTTCTTTTTGTTGCATGGAAACTTTTTTTTATCCCAATTACTGACATAATGTTGATTGATGTTGACTGAGAAATTTAAACTATATACATTTCTTTTTAATGAATTTAACAGCTGTTGCTATGACGACAGTTTGTAAATATTTACATTCCAATTTTTACAGAGCCCGTCTATTACAACGTGCTCTTCTGGCAGAGCAGAACAAAAAGGATCTAATTGAAGATATAAATAAAGTGACCAAAGAACGGGATAATATTAACAAACTGTTAAGAAATTTAATCACAGCTATTGAAGTTGTCAAAGAGAGTCTAAAAGTAAGTACGCAGCATTGTCGGTCGTTACTCTTAAAAACTTAATTCAACGCAAGCTCTCGCTTGTTTTCTCAACAAAAAGACCATTAATTTTATAGATAAAAATGCACAACACGCAAAGATGATAGTTAAACTGACAATGGAACGCACTTTTGTCCCAGCTTGGGACTCACTGGCAGTACGCACCCACCACGTTTCAAACCCAGGATCTTCCGGTTACAAAACAAGCTCGTATACCATTCACCCACTGGGACCCGACTCAATGGTCCATGTATTCCAACTTCTACCAATTTGTGGTTTTAGCACAATCATCAGCCAATATCAACCGCAGCCAGTATTTGTCCTCACCCTGCACAGGATGGACCCCACTGGTCACGACTTCTTACTAGAACTCCAGAAAACTCAGTCAGTGATTAAATTTGAGGAACAAATCATATCCTTACAGATCAATTCTTGAAAAATTAACCTGCAGCTCGCTAGTGATTGGCTACACGACAGGGTAACCTGGAATTATAGTGAGAAGTAGTGACCAGTGGTGTTCATCCCGTCGAGAGTGAGGACAAATGCTCACCGATGACATTAGCTGGTGGTTGTGCTGAAATCCCGGGTTGGTAGAAGTTAGAATTCATGGACCACTGAGTCGGGTCGCAGTGACTGAATAGTATACAAGCTTGCTTTGTAACCGGGAGGTCCTGGGTTCGAAGCACAGCAGGTGCGCACTGCCAATGATTCCCAAACCAGGACGAAACAGCTGTCCAGTACTCCCAGGTTTACCAGTGGTTCTCTAACTGATGTCAGCTCATGATGAAAGTATTTTTATCCGCTTATAACCGAAGTGATTACAGATAGCCTTCAGGTGATGAGAAACTGTAACATAAATGGATATCATTTTATGCTCTAAATTTGCTTATTCAATACAATTACTGGGTAGTTGATGAGGGTGGGTTGAGCAGCATTTTAATCCTGGTTTCGGACTCCGTAGCAGTACGCACTCGTGACCCACACATTATTTGGAACCGAAGCTTTCAGGTAACAAACAACTCTCTTTAAGACAATTATGTCAGAATCCAATGGTCCGTGACTTTCAACTTCTATCAACACGCAATACAGCTCCAGTCCCACCTAATATTATCAGTGATCATTCATTCTCATACTTGACTTAGTAGATCACACCGGTTATGTCTTGTCATTAGGACCCCAGGATTTCTACCATCTAGTTAGTTACTATTCGGCTGCCCACAAGTTTTCTGTTATGAAAACAGAGTTAACACGGTATTCAGAGGCTATTCACACCCTTCTGTCTACAGAAGTTAATAAATTTCATTCATTTATAACCATCGTAATTCTAAGCAGTCTCCAGATGATGAGAACTCAAATAACATGATCCTGATGGGTACTTCAAGTTTAATCTGATTTTCGTTATGTTAATACAGAAGTTGAAATAAGAAGAACTACGCAGAAATGTGTCTTTATTGTGAGTAAATCATTCCTGTTTACATAATTCCTTGCTGTAGCAAAATTAACCACATGTCTGATGCATAATTTATTGAAAACTTACAGGTGAATTCATTTATCCTGCTAAAGAAAAAATATTTTCCCTGTTAAATTGGCTTTATTTGTCTTCTTCTTCAAGTTGGAACCCGCTTGATTAATACTTTAGCCTACTTCGTGCATGTTTTAACACTGTTAATTAAACCTCTAAAGGAATTAGCGCTTCTAATAAAAACTATTCTACTTTTATTTTACAAAATTTCTTTAGGTTGTACAACAAATACATAACAGGACAAGGGCACGATTTGTTGTTTCACCAAAATACGATGGTGAATTAATGGAAAAGAAACGTCGTCTTCAGATAGCTATTCAGATGGGACAACAAGAATTACAAGAAGAAGTAAGTAATTAGCTGTATATAATTACCATTATTATGCCCATTATTTTGGTGGTATCGAATCGTATGTGAACAGGTACACGTGATCTAAAGAGAACCATTATAAGTCACACACATATAACTTACACGATAAATCCAAACAATTGATGTGTGACTATTAAGACGACATGACGGAACCTTAAGAAAGTCAATCCATAGAAAACCCACTTGAGAAGGTCAACTAGCGAATTTCTACAGTTAGGTACCTAATGAGAGGAAACGAAATATGCCACTCTGAACCAATGCGTCTGCATTCCTGACTCCCTGGAAGGGGAGCTGGATCTTCTGAAGGAAGCCTTCATCCAAAAGACATACCCGCCAAGATTCGTCGACAAGAATAGCAAATCAAAGGTCTAGGGGGACGCAACATCACTTGTTTCAAAAAAGATGCTTTACATGAATCTGGATTTCAAGAGAGACTTAGCTTACGTTCTCCTCAAGAGAAGAATTTCAGCATCTTTGAAAAGAACATTCATCGCAGCAACGCTAAGAACAGTGTTCTCCAGTCGTTTGTTGATCTGCAGAAGCCTTAAGGATATGATCTCACATCTGGAAACTTCTATGTGCATATATCAGTTCACCTGTTGCTGTGGAGCCAGGTACATTGGTCGTTTGACGCGTATTCTGCCCCAGAAAGTCCAAGAACACCATCCCGCAAGCTGCAAAAAGGTAATCGTGGCTGTATAAGAAGTGCGATAATCAAAAATCTCGTTAACACTTGTCATTCCTTCTCAGCAAACGCCTCCTTCAAAATGATCTACAGAATGAAGAATAACCTATCAAAAGTAATACCTTTTCGTCTCCTTTGTATTGCTGAAGCCTTAGTCATTCAGTTGGAAAAACCAGAGTTATGCATACAAAAGAAAATCACCCAACTATTTCTACTATCATGGTAACAACCGTGTTGACTTCGACTAATTTGATGTTTGTGTTGCTTGTTTTTTTCTAACTCCTTATGAAATTTGTTATTTTTATAACTCTTACATAATTCCATATTCTCCTTTGTTTTCTATATGCGTCTTAATCGCAACTCACTCAGTAAACTATTCATCTTATTACGTAAACGTATGACGCTTATTCAACTTCATTTAACATTAGCAACTATGTTTTTTGACAACACGTCACCACTACCTTCTTCCTATTTTTCAGCTACCCTAGTTACAGTTTTCATTATTCATCACATTTTTAAAATGTCTTGAAAACAATAATGCTAACTAATTTTTGTTGTTATCAGACAAACCTAATGTACACACACACACACACACACAAATGAGTATATATAATTGCGATTGTACAGCTAAGTGAATGAATTCACCGAAAAGAGACTCTTCGTTGAACTACTTGTTTTATTCATCTCCCCTTCAGGTCCTACACTTATATCTCAATCAACCACTTTGAGGCGCAAATTGAGGTAGTTCATTGTGGAGGTAGCCAGTATTCTGTAGAGGCAAAGTTTCGATTAAAAGGCAACTTTCATTCCGCGAATTTTATCGTTCTGCGGAAAATTTGTCTATTGAAAGTATGAATCACAATATGCGACTTGCTTAGTAGCATAAATGATAGTCAAAGAAGTGTGTTAGTTATTCCTAAGTATCTATATCAGTTGTTCATAAATACAAACTAGCTATCAAAAAAGATATCAGTGAAAACAGGCGACTACGAACGCCAGTCCGATTGGTAAAATGTACAAATTTTTAAAAAAGTACACATTAGGAATGCCAAGGATTTCCTAAAAGCCTGGTAGTCATACTTACATATATCAGATTTACCAAACGATGGAAAAAATTCATATGCTAAAATAGGTCATCTGTGAGATTAACAAAATAATCCATTCCAATACATATGAACAAAAGGGTGAAAAGATCTCCGGAGATAACCAATGAAGTCCAAGTTCACCAGGACAGATGTTTATTACACTCATGTAGAATTCGAAAAGCTTGATTCAAGTTGGATTCAAATGGAGTATTGTCCACAAAGACAATGAAAGCTTCGCAGCTAGAGTGTCCAGCCTAGAGAATACAAGCACACCAAGGGACAACCAGATCATAACTTTATTGAGTTACACAATTTATAAGACGTATTAAACGTGGATCTCACGTTGGCTTTAAAATAGACCCAGTACAAATAGAACACTTGAGATTTAGTGATGATAAATGCGCGTGTGTGTGCTAAGTCACTATCACATAACAAAAAGTTATACAATGGATACGATGAAAAACTGTGTAAATGCACTATCGAAATGACAAAATGTGAAAAACGTTATGCAAACCCTTGAAAATAATAACACTAATAATAAAGAGTTAAGGAGCGACAAAATAAATTTAGGTCAAGTTAAAAGGACATATTGGAGGTCAAAACAACACTGAAGATTACCAAACCAAATAACAGACGTAATCATACATCTACTATGGGATCAAAACAAAGTTTACCAAGGAAGGTTTAAACTTCCTAATGGCTAGGGCTTCCACAAACTTTAGGATTCGCCCCAAACACGTCCTATATATAGATTTAAAAGACGTGTAAACATCAATTTATTGTCCTGTGTCTATAATATGTTTCTCAAAAGAGGAGCTAGGTCGCCTGTTCTCACCATTATTGGGTTCTGGGGATTCTATTTGCTTCTACAACCATTTAGGAATATGAATATATGCGTAAAACTTGGGCACTGTGGTGGTAGGTAACTCCATAATAATTTGTTTACTAGATGAATCACACAGTGAAAAAGGTAGGATGAAAATGATTCAACACCCAAGACATCTGAAAAATTGTACTGTCCGTAAAACAAACAGGAAAGAATGAAGAGAATTATAAAATGGAAGTTTCGAAGTTGTATGGTTATAATTGATATGTTTATGAACAATAAACTGTGTTCGAAACGTCACCGAGTAAATAAAACTGACGCATTGTGTGATATATCTAATAAACAAATTAATGTGGAATTCAGGAATATGTTCTAAAACCCTTACTTGCAAAGATTGACAAACTACCTCCTCGTATTGCTTTGTCTAAATTCATAAAGGGAACTAACTGTTTCAAAATTTTCACACGAAGTACAGAGTCCTCTGCGTAATCTTTTGTATAATATTTTGTCTCCATTCAGGATCTTCAAGTAAAATAGCAAACTATTTTATATCATGTGACGCAATACTGTTCAATTTCAACTGTTGAATAACTCCTCATGACATCCTTCCTCCACCTCCGAGGAATGCTCATGGGTATTTTGAAAGCCAATTGAAAATGTGCGTGAGTACATTTTGCGACTCAGAGAAATAATTAAATGGTTCAAACAATAAGAATTAGAGAAAGTATGATGTATTGTGTTGAATGGTAATTCAGGTGGCCCAGTGAATCAAACACGCCGCCAACTGAAGTTTTATCAGTGCTGGAAAAAAAACCCTGTTAACTTCCACTGAAAGTGTTTCCCCTATTGTTGCATAAACAAAGAGGACACACATAATTCCTCTGGATATACACATCACAATTTCTACAACTGGGGTTACTGATAGTAGATGTAGCTTTTCTGCTTTTGACAAATTACTGAGAAAATAGTATACCAATGAAAATGAGTGCTTTGATGCCCATTATCTATCAAATGGGATAAAAATGTGTTATCTGTGAATCTTTTACCGGACCATAAAGCCACATGTTGACGAACGTGAATTTATCAAGTCTTTTGAATATCGCCTATGTAAACTTTTGAACTCATAGAAATATATAATACGCATCGACAGTATATTTGACTTAGAGATAAAAGCTCTTTGTAATGAACTACAGAAATCAAAGAGAAACTGAAAAACTATTTGCCTTCTAAACTTTAGTACATTACACCTACCGATGTGACTTCTCTAGTAGTTCCCAAAAATCAAGGACAATTTTTCTGAGGTTGAAAGCATGAAAAACTGAAGTGTATAAAAAAGTCTAAAGGATTAAAAACATTTCATTTAAGTTAATTTTTTCCACCTTCCACTATAGTTTCGAATATGCTTGAAACTTGCAGCTTTATTATGTTAGCTCATAATTTTGTCCCGCTGTCACTAGACATTGCACCGCTTATTTAGTCCACCTTATTTTACAATGTTCCTCGAAGAGATTTCAGCTTGTGGTGAAGTTCAACTTGCTATTGAAGTAGAAATCATAAATTGACGAGTTTTTAGTTGATTCCATAAAACTGTTCATTTTCTAATCTTAGGCCCATTTTGTTGCCACATTTGAACAAGCAATATCACAAAAGAGAACAATCGAGTTTTCAGAAATCTTAGGAAGCTCGCTTAGAAGATAGAGACCAAGGTAGATAGATACGCATCAATATGTAAAGGCAAAACGTTTTCATGAAGAAACTAAAAAAACGATTTCCTGTTTTATTACTTTACATACTTTGTTAACACGAAACTATATTCTGATGTAAAGATTGTCTTTGCACAATTCGAAAACTACAGCTAGTCCATAAAACTTTACTCTTTTCATTCCTTTGAGTTCGAAATGAAACACAGAGCTTCAAGTCTCAGCTTTAGGTTTCCAGTGGTAGTGGTGCTGTTTTTACGGAATGCAGCTCTCCTTACCAGGCTTACTACTGGCTTAACAGGATTTGGTAGTGTGTCAGTCGAGAATCCAATCCGGAATAAGCCCATGGTTACAGTTTTGATTACTTTCCATATGTTTTCATTTGAAATGTCAAGTATCATAAAATTTCAATAAAGTACTCAGGTATAAACGGTCAGTAAACGTCATCGGTGACCGTCAACTTTGTGGAATAAAACAGCACGAAGTTTTCATAATTACTAAATACGCTTTTGTGAGTTCACGCTAATCTCATCATTTCTTCTTCGTTCACCTAAAACAGTTGATGTTTGTAAAGGGATCTGCAGGTCCACATTGCATTTTACAGCCTTAAATCTCTTAGGATTAAATTCAATTATATTTCAACCAGCTAAAATTAAACAGCTTCCTATAAAGTGTGCCAATATTGAAACTAATCGTCAGGATAACCATAATTGCATACTAATGTTGAATTCGGTGGAGCAGAGGTAGAATGCTTGCCAATCCGGCATGCGTTCTGGGGCTCGACTCCTGCCCAACGCACTCCTTAGCAGGTAGTAAGCCAAGTCACTAGGGAACGTTAGACGTGATGCCAACAACTATTGCTCTTTTAAAATGGTTAGCCTGTTACAGCTACCGATATGTAATCTGAAAGCTTGAAACCTTAAATTCCAATGGGAACTCAGAACAATAAAATGAAAAAAAATGAAAAATAATATATCTAAAACAAGGTTGTTGTGTGTAATTTCTCAATTCATGAAGATTTTATTTTTAATATGGTATGAAGAAGGCTTTTTTCAAGTTATTAGAGTTCATAAAGGCATCATGGGAAAATTGTTGTAAGCCATATATATATAGTCTTGTGTTTTTGCTTTTCACTTTAACAGTATCAACGTGCAGAAAATGAACAAGCAAAAACTTCACAATGTGTAATGCTTAATGAACGACGTTTAATGGTTTTAGAACATGCACGTGCAGAAAACTGGGAACTATTACGACTGATAAGTAATTTAACTGATGGACTTACTAAAGCTGTACGTGAACATACTTGTGTTAGAAAAAAGTCTGATCGATTATCTGAGGAATTGTGGACAAAAAATATGGAAATTACTGAACAAACTAGAAAATTGGAAGAACTCGGTGTAAGTGATACTTTTTATACAGTGAGGAATTATCTTACTTCTTAAGGATTTGAAAGTGAATTTTTCACTATATTATAGTCACTTTTACGCTGGAGATAATCAGCCCAGGTTTCGTGCTTATTGAAACTTGTGTATCTGTGGTCTGAATGGAGTTGATTTCTTCTCTGAAATCAGGACTCGTGCCACTATGTACTATGGTCAAAGACATCACCTGTGAGCCACTCGAACTTGAATTAATCTCCTCCAAAAACTGCATTCAAAACATTTATCGGTCACTGGGAAGTATTCATTTTGTGCTGTTTAATCTACAGTGATGAGTTCCCTATCATACTCAGTAAAGTAACGTTCTGATTTCTTTAAGTTATTCCCAAATTATCAGATGCTAGCTTCATTATGGAAGAGATTTTATTTTGATTAATCACACAGTGTTATACGGTGGCAGTGTGTTCAAGCACAGGGATACACACAAGGCAAGATGGATTTCACCAGATGGACACACCAAAAACCAGATAGACTTCATTTCAATCTCGAGGAATTGGAGACGGAGCCTAATGGACACAAAGTCGAGGAGACGAGCAGATGTGGGTTCAGACAACTGTCTAGTACAAGGGACTTTCAAGGTGAAGCTAGAAGTCTCGGGGATAGCTGGGGATACGCCACAATGCAAGTTCAACACTCAAAAACTGAGGGACACAACCACAAAGCACACTTTCACTGCAACTGTCAGAGCAAAGCACGAAACACTACGTGACATCACTGAAGAATCATGCATGGAAGACCACAGGAACTCTCTGAAGGTGATTTTCAACGAAACATGTTCAACGGTTTTAGGAAGAAAGAAAAGGCAAGATAAGGAATGGCTCTCAACGGACACTTGGAAATTAATAGAAGAGAGGAGAGTGGTGAAAGAGAAAATGATTCAATGCGAGGACAGACAGGAGAAGGAGACGCTGAGCTCGACTCACACAGCACTGGACAAAGAAGTGAAGAAGAGTGCTAGGAAGGACAAAAGACAGTTCTACGACAACCTCGCCACTGAATCTGAGAAGGCAGCAGGCAAAAGGGACCTGAAGACACTATATCAGATAACCAAATCTCTATCCAGGAAGAGACAAATACACGCGAAACCTATAAAAGACAGACAAGGGAACCCAATTACCAAGGAAGAAAAACAGACTAAATAATGGGCAGATCACTTCAAAGGACTCTTGAACCAACCATCACCTGCAACCCGTTCAGAAATACCAACAACAGCACGTACACAAGTGCAAGTTGACACCAATCCTCCAACGAGAGCTGAAGTCTTGAATGCAGTCAAGCTTTTGAAAGCTGAAAAAGCAGCTGGACCAGATGGAATATCCCCTGAATCACTGAAAGCGGACCCAGAGACGACAGCAGACATGCTGACTCCATTATTGCAAAAGGTCTGGAAGGAGGGAAAGGTGCCTACTGACTGGAGGGAAGGTTACCTCGTGAAACTACCAAAGAAGGGCGACTTAGGACTCTGCAATAACTGGCGAGGAATCATGCTCCTGTCGACGCCAAGTAAAATCCTGAGTCGCATCATCCTGAAGAGATTAAAGGACCCACTGGAGACAGAACTCCGACCAGAACAAGCTGGATTCAGGAAACGCAAATCATGGCAACTCTACACCTTAGCATCGAAAAAAACATGGAATGGCAATCAAACCTCTACCTCAACTTTATAGACTTCGAGAAGGCCTTCAACAGTGTTGACCGTGAAGTAATTTGGAAACTACTCGAGTACTACTGTCTACCCCAAATATTCATCAACCTTATTCGACAGTTGTACGACAACGGCACATATCAAGTGATCCACAACGGAAAACTCACCGAGGCGTTTGAAGTAAACACAAGAGTCAGACAAGGGTGCTTATTATCACCAATGATATTCCTAATTGTGGTGGACTGGATTATGCGTCAGACAGTGAGTGGGAAACGAGAAGACAGGGATATCCTGGACCGACGTGAAGAACCTGGAAGACCTGCATTTCGCGGATGATTTATGTTTGATGTCACACAAAATGGAAGACTTACAAGCGAAAACCGACAAACTGGTCGAAGAAGCAGCAAAGACAGGACTCCAGGTAAACATAGACAAGACGGAGGTTATAAAAAAACCAACCAACAACAGCAGCAACATCAAGCGCGAATCACCATCAACGGAAGGGATTTGAAAGAGGTTTCTCCGTTCACTTATTTGGCATTTAGCATTGTCTCAACTACAGGAGTAACAGACGAAGATGTCAAATAAGAATCGGGAAGATGAGAAACACAAACGTCAAGTCAGTCAGCTCTTCTATACGGATCAGAAAGTTGGCGGGCGGGTCACAAAGAATATTTTCAAGAGACTGTTGCAGACCTTCATCAACAACTGTCTTCGCTCTATACTGAAGATCAGATGACCGGGCCGGAAAGAATCACCAACAAGAAACTATGGGAACAAACAAAACAAGAACAAACCAATCGCCCAATAAATATGCAGGAAAAGTGGAGATGGATTGGACATTCGCTGAGGAGGCCGGTTGGTGAAATCGCGCGTCAGGCCATTGCTCGAGTGGAACCAGGTCGAAAGGGAAGCGGTGAGTTGGTCGTCAGTGCAAGGGTGACATGGAGGAGATCGTATGAAGAGGAGTTGAAACAGTATGGACTAACATGGATGCAGGTGAAAAATACAGCAAAAGACAGAAGCAAGCAGAGACGTGCAGTTGAAGCCCTATGTTCCACTAGGAACCCCAGGGAAAAATAATAATAATTAACTGATGACGTTTCGAGCACAAACTGTTGCTCATAATCATATCAAGTTACTCACACAACTTTTTCCTTCATTTATATACATGAGTACCTTGATATGATTATGAGCAATGTTTTGTGCTCGAAACGTCATCAGTTAGTATTACTGTATAACACTGTGTGATTTATCAAAATGAAATCTTATCCATAATGGAGTTATACTCTTCCACCACAGTGCCCAAGTTTTATAATTATATCAGATGGTAGATAATTCGCCTCTAAGAGATTTAATGAAATTATATAAAGTGCAGACTAACTAGCTGCTAAACAGAAAAATGATTTTAAAACAGAACGGTGACTCCCTTTTTTTAGTTCTTATGATAGTAGTTGTCATAAAATGATAGGAAACCTTAACGGTTAGGTTATGTAACTGTACAGAAGTTATGTGTTACTTCTGTAGTTATACCTTTTCATGATAGTCGACCACTTTTGTTCAAAATAGATAGACAGATAGATGCAATGAAATATCTCACAAACAGGTAGTTCAAAAGGATACTCTTAGTTATGAATCCCTTTTCATAAAGTTTTTTTCCTAAAAACTATTTCAAATATGACATATGAATAAATATGTACTAGTTCTGAGGAGAAGAAGAAGGTAAATGTATTAGAGGCTTCTATTGCTTGGATTGAACTTAAAAACTTATAAAATTAAGACAGATTTACAAACACCAACGCTAACTTGTCATAAAATATTTGTAACTAATATCTGTATCTATAAACAAAATCAACTAAAGAGGTAGTAATTACTGAACTTTATCGATGGACATAGTAACTTCTTCCATAACTTAATTAGACAATCTTCATGAAAGTGAAATTACGAACAATAATTTGCCTCATTCAGTACAATTTTTTACGAAACAAATAAACATTTCAGAAATGTACATTTTCCATGCATTTTAGTCATAATTAGGTATTTCATAGAATGATATTTTATATATGCGTACACATGTGAGATCATCTTAGGTTAAGCAGCTTCTAAATGCCTAATAGAATCTTAGTAAAGAAAATTTATAATCGGAGTATTATAATGAAAGGTCGTTTTTTTCACAGTACTGAAAGGCGGTCTGCTTAAATCACTGGGCTATCGAAATTACTTTCCTCTAAAATGCTTAATTTCATCTGGATTTATCATGGTTTTAATCATCCAGTTACATCACATGACCTATACATAATCTTGCGCGATGATATAACTTACTTACTTACTTATAAGTAAACACTGTACAATTCTTCAACGAAATGAAGATATACTTCAGATTATTAATTTACATGTGAATCCTATGTGAAGAAAAAGTACTTTGGAACTGAATACGCTGAAAATTTTTGTACTGTATATTCGCATACTGTCTTAAATAAAGCTTTACCATTATTATTATTATTATTATTATTATTAGATGAGTATAACAAGTTGATAAACATTCAGACCATAGATGTTATGAATCCCTTGGAATAATTTAAAAGCCAAATCAGATTGAATCCTGATGCAGTTACTCAAAATAATCTCCAAGTGTTACGAAAAAAAAAGAAGATTTTTCTAACTGCTTCGTAATTCTTCCGAAAAAGCTATGGCGGCTTACACATTAAAACGTCCAGAAAAATCTTTGGTTTTTGATTTTTTTTAGCGCTGGGATTATTTCAAGTAACTTAATCAGTACAGTAAGTGTTGAAGAAAACTTTCTCACGGTCTCTGGAAAATTCCGTCACAAACTATCACCGAAAAGTTTCCTTTTGCCTCTTGTTGTAATAAGAATAATAAAGCTTTATTTGAGACAATATGCAGACATATTAGACAAAAAATTTCAGCGTATTCAGTTGCAAAATACTTCTTTCTTCATACAGGATTTACATGTAAAGTAATAATCTGAACGACACCTTCATTTTGTTGAAGAATTGCACAGCATTTACTTCGAAGAAAGTTAAACCAGCGCGCAAGTTCATGTAAAGGTTATTTGATATGACTGGACGATGTAAACAATGATAAATCCAGATGAAATTAAGCATTTTGGTTGGAGGCAATGTCGAATGCCTAATATCTCTGATCACTTGTTTTACGACAGTATTTCTTTGACAAATGAAACATAAAATAATCTATTAACAATCTTGATTAAGTCAGTAGTTTCTTTAAGGGAAACAGTCCCACCATTTCACATAAAACGGTATCAAAATCAAATGCAGAAGCGACTAATTTCCAACTGTGTTCAACGGTGTAATCTAGTTCATGTGATATATTTTTCGCCATACCTTATGTAAAAAAATTCCCTGTTCAACTATGTAATTACTAAATTCTAACTTGGAGTCTGAAACCAATAAAATTGAACCTCGGTCTTGATTAAGCTGTGAGTGTAGAGTAATTTTTTACGAGTTGATCACGGATTGATATCATTTAGAGAACCATTGAAAACCAGGGAGTACTGGACAGCTGCTGTTTCATCCTAGTTTTGGGAATCATCGGCAGTACGCACCCACTGGGATTCGAACCCAGGACTTTCCGGTCGCGTTAAATCACGAATTAGTAGAAGTTAGAATTCATGAACCATTGAATCGGGTCCCAGTGGCTGAATGGTGAACGAGCTTGCCAGTGGCGCAGATGCATCCACTCCCTGTGACTTATGATCTTCAATCAAACTGTTTTGTATTTCTTTATTACTCCTTTGTCTCACACCTCTGCTCACTGTTTCTATTATGCTTTTCTTGTACTTTCTTCTCTTGCTTCGCGTGCTACACGGAATGTGGCGACTTGAACTTCCGCACATTTGTGCAAAGTTTTATGTCGAAAACAGACAGACAGACAGAGCTTGCCTTGTAACCGGAAGGTCCTGGGTTCGAATCCCAGTGGGTGCGTACTGCCGATGGTTCCCAAAATGAGGATGAGACAGAAGCTTTTCAGTGCTACCTGGTTTTCAATGGTTCTCTAACTGACATTCATCTGTGATCAACTCGTAGAAACATAACTAACCCTTATAAACCGAACTGTAGAGTGATTTGACTAAAACTATCAAGCACACGTTGGTCAAGCGGAGTTCCTCATAATACAACCTATTGTACAGTTCATAATAAAATGAATTTGTTTATCTTCTCAGTTCATAATCAAAATCTATAACTAAAATGATCCGAAATATTTCTAGTTAATTGATATCACTACCCACCCCCATCTTCGCCTTTACAGAGTAGATTAACGGAAATCTCCAAGTGTTATGCGAAGGCAAAATTAGAACGTAACAAGTTTGTCGGCTTATTACAAACATCAATAAAACTTGCATTAGATACACGTGAACGCTTAAAGTTGCATACAAATGAAGCAGAAATACTAATGTTCAATTTACAAAAACGTGATGCTCAGTTAACAAAAGAACGTAAATTATTTGCAACTGTTATTGTCCAACGAGATCATAAACGTCATCATGTTTGTAAACTGGCTGAAATGAATGCAAAACAGTTGCAAAAACGTGAACAATTGCAAATGAGTATTCAACAAATTAATACTATATACAGTCAAACTGAAGCAGAAACTTTAAGTATTAGAAAGGCTAAAGAGCGTAATGCACGTTTACGTAATGAAAAAGCTATACAATTAATCGAAAGAAATCAAGAAGTTTACATACTCCAGGTGAGTTTAAAACCGGTATAAAACTAATAAACTTTGTGTATTAAAATTAATTCGAAATCTTAGTTGAACAGTTACTGAAAAGTTATGCTAAATCGAGTTGGAATCACATCAGTATAACGACAGTTACTTTGTAAGCATTTCGTAGTTCTATGAACTGTTCTCTTACTTAAAACTAATTATTTATCTATTTTAAAGTGATGAATAGTACTTATCCGGACATTTTTGAATGGTGACAAGATTTGCTAACATAACATGACAGTAATCCATGAAGTCGCTGACAATTGACCTGAGCCACATTCGAAGGTTTAGATTGCCTGAATGAAATTGTTTCGATTGCCAAGAATCAGTTATTGAAGATACTTTTTGACACATCTCAAAATAAATAGAATATTCCCAAACTGTTTTTTGTTTTTTCCTTCACGTTCCTAGTGGAACATAGAGCCTCAAGCTAGTGGCCTGAAGTTTCTGTAGCAGCGTTTAGTTTTACAGGATGGGGTTGCTAGCCTCATTCTCATACTGAGTCACAAGGAAAACTCGTAAACAGTGGAGAAAATTTCCTTTTCGACGATTCATTTTCATAAGTTATGCAATCGTTATTATATTTAACAAGGAATTCACAAGACCAATCAGACACCGTAAAAATTTGTCCTCGAAGGCGTATCATATAGTGTACGGTATAGTCTGGCAGGGGAATTAGGAAAAGGGGGCAGAAGTTGGGATGACGTAATAAGTGTGAGAAAATAACTAATCCATGTAGTTGTATAGACCGGACAAGAACTAGTGGGAAAACGATTAAGTATTTTTATAAAATATGAAAATGCGATGTTATTAGGAAACAATAATAGAGTGATAATAAAGTAAGGATGACAACAGTAAACCTACGGAATAAAATGAAGCAAAATTATTATGGGGACGTTACTGTGTCCACGGTAGGGAGAGTGAATATACACACACACACACTTATTACGTCATCCCAACTTCTGCCTCCTTTTCCTAATTCCTCTTCCCGATTGCACCTTAAATTATATAATACGCCTTCGAGGACAAATTTTTACCGGTATCTGATTGGTCTTGTGAATTCCTTGTTAAATATAATAACGACTGTATAGCCTATGAAAATGAATCGTTGAAAAGGGAAATTTCTTCACTTATTACGCTCTCTAGTTATCTTGTGGTGATGTGATACAGGCAATGTGTTCTAACGCAATATGATTCAGTTCCGTTATCAAAGGTACAACTAGAAGCTTTATCTCTTGGACTAAAATTCTGTGATGGTAATCTTAACAGCAACAGACTTCATACGTATATTCAATTCGAGAACCTCATAAGCCAAACTCATGATATTACTCCAGTCTCCGACGCAAATTTTCTACACTTCAAGTCAACAATCTTCGATTGCTGTAATCAATATCTCAGCCTAAAATCTCAAGCCCGACGTCTACTGACAAAAGAACATAGAAAACAACTCAAACAATATGATTCTCACATATTCCCACAGTTCAATTCGGCATTAGCAACAAAATACTATTTACATTTTAGCATTATATTTCATGTCGTTTGATGTAAACCGAAATCACACGCTCAGTGATTGGTTAACGAATATAAACTATATATATAAACAGCAGTTTGATCAATGAAATATATACCTTTGCTTCCATGTCTTGCCTTCTACTGCTCCAGCATCTCAAAATGTTGCAGAATACATCGAATGCACATACTTTTCATCACCAAAATCATACAAATCACCAACTTTCACTTGATCATTTTCCCTGAGACACTAAATTTTGCCTAACACTTGTGCATTTCGAATCGCTTTTTCTGTGTGTTTCGGATGAATTGATGTTCTTCTGAGCAAAATTCTACGTCCATTTTTCAGTCAATCAGTCATCAACTTAAAGAGTAACACTACATAGTAGTATGATATTATTTATTTAGGCGGCCATATAACAGAGTTGATTGACATTACTGCAATAGTAATACAGATATAACATTGTCTTTTATTACTTTGATGTGAGTGAACACAATCTTAAGATGACACATATTTATGTAGTAATTTAACTTGACCAAGTTTAATTAATACAGTGTTGTGACCAGTTAACAAAAATTCAATATATATATATATATATATATATATATTAGAACCATGATAGAAAAAAATTGAACAGTTTCTATTGATATTTCCAACTTCTACATGAGAATACTTTTCATTCTACAGTATATTTCAGTGAATTTCATCAAACGCAAAAAAAAACAACTTGAATCGTAAAGAAGATCGACCACAGAACTATCGAAGACGAAGAATGCTGGTTAACTGTTTCTTTTACGACTTTGAGACTTTTAAACAGGGGAAACCAGAAACTCTGCAACAGACCACGTCAAAAACCTTTGAGTTCAATATTAGCAAATTTGCACAAATAAAAGTGGGAAGACTGTCCAATGTCATAGCAGAATAACATTCCTCATTACTGACTTGACCAACCTTGTCAATCACTTAACACACCTTGAAGTCAGTTTAATCTCTCCAGAAATGACAACAAACTATTTTGGCACACTGAAAGTGATACTTATTTTATTTAACTTCTGAAAATTTTGCATATCTTTAGAAAATCTCCATCAATATGTCAACACGTTTATATTTTGCCAATACTAAGTGTATTTCAAAAACGAATCACATGTATTTAATTCAATTGCATGGAGCCCTAGTGGAACACAAGCATTCAAACTTCACATTTTGAAGTTTCAGTAAAAGTGATATCACACCCAACCTTCACTCTTTTCGGATTTACCAGATATATAAACTAAACGACGTTTAGGAGAGAACCTCTCGCGTGCCTGGCTAGCATTTTATCACTGAACCACCGATGTTTATGAATAACAAATAAATGCATGCAAGAAGGTGGCATCTTGATGTTAGTTGGTTGGAGGCAATCGACAGGAATCCTGGGACCTGGGTTTCGTTCCAGTTGGCACTCACCAACGGGGCATTTCTGCAACCTTGAAGGAACTCATGTCTGAGGTTTCCTGGCAATTGCCTCCAACCATCAAATAACAATTCAAAGTGTATCGTGGTGGCGAGCAACCTAAATTGGTGACCATATTGAAAACCTAACTAATAGATTTCAATCTGCAGAAAAACGAAGGACTAGACACATCGTACTAGTTACTAGTGCCCAATCAAATTAGCATTTTGGCCACCAAACACATGTGGTACAAGTCCTTTATATTGTTACAATAATATTAAGCTTACGTCAACTGTGAAACCCAAATTTGTATACATTCATATTTTTTTTTTAATTTAATGAATCCCATTCTTTATAGGAAAGGCTCAGTGCACAAGCTGCTGCAGGAAACGCAGCAGAACTGAGTTTACGTGGACTAGAAGAAGAAATTGGATTCTTGAAACTATACCGAACGCAATTATCCAATTATATTCAAGTGATCAATAAAAATGGCCCCAAGATAGATGCAATGAAAACTGAATTAAGAGGTCTGATACATGAGGTTTGTTTATATAAAGTGAAATTATTGTTAAAAAAATAATAAGTAACTCTAGATTAATTTAAACTTAGAAATTAAACTGCGTGCACCTGTTCTCAGGAGGAAATAATAATTTGAAGAAAGCGACTACAGAATCTTAAAATCTAAATGAAAAAATTATCGGTCAGTTGTCAATCTATTCCTTCCCATTAATAGATGACAGTAAATAACTGAAGCCTTTCAGATATGATTTAGAAATGAATAGAACACGATTATTATTCCAAATTCAAAGATACTTAATTACCATTCAGCCCGTAGTGTATTTATCTGTGTAGAATGAAGAATAGATAGACGATTGAAAACACTAAATTTGCCGGTCAGGAGTGTACTTAACTAACCATCACATTAATACAAACACTATTGACAATAATGCCTTTCTCCGTGTGAGTGAGAATAAAGGCAATCGCCAGATATTTTCGCGCATAGTATATCAAATAATACAACATGCATTCCAACTGTGCCAGAAAAAGTTGATATAACACCTTTGAGACAAACAGCTAAATATAAGATCTCATATAATTACAGCATTCGTCTGGGCACGTAATACAAAATTAACTACCTGAAGGAATTCAAGTCATAATTGGCCTCCTCTACTCCACCTACACAAGTTGCCAGTTTGATTAGTAACAACTTATATCCTCTACATTTTCGTACATTTTGAAGGAAGTCTTAAAGACAATGGTATTTATTTATTTATTTATTTAAACGCATTAAAACTTGGTACAGTATGGCACCAAGAAGGATGCGCCACACAATAATAATAAAACAACATAGATCAAAAGAAAAAAAAGAAAGAAGAGAATATATATATAAGTAGAGAAAGGATAAAAAAACTTCATGTGGAAGGAAAACACTCATGCTTAACAAGTTCAAACAGTATTCGCTAACTATCATCGGGAAGGGAAGAAAACAGGGAATTGCAACACGTGTAATAGCACGCGATAAGTTTCATTGATTCTTTGTTGCTTTATTCGATTCATTGTGTGAGGGCTGAGATACTGCCCGGGCGCCCAGACCGAAACAGGTGGTTTTATTAAGGGACCATCCCCCGAGCCTTTGACTTGGAGCCTAATCCGCAAGGCAGCGGAGCAGCGTCAGGAGCTGCATTCCCATGGTTTCCGGCGACCCATATGGGTTCATACGCCATTTGATCCGATTGGATACTGGAGCCCATGTACCCCATGGTAACTGCTTTTAGTTTAACCGCTATCCAAACAACCTTCCTGACATGGTGGGACCTGCAGGGACAGGTCCCAGTCAGTTTAGCATGTTGGGTCATTACGGTATTCAAGCCCGATCACCACGACAATGTAGCAGTTATCGGCGGGGAAAAAGACAATGGTACAAATATCATTGATCGTTTAATAGCCAAGTGTTACAGTTCTCTAACAATAGTTGATTAGATGAATACAGCATAGTTTTTTGTTGTTGTTGTATGAGCTCACTGATTTTTACAGGTAAACAACCAAGACTGAGAATTGAATTTATGAAGTTGTTCAGTAAACTACATAAAGGTTGTTAAGATAGCCTTTTTTTACTCCACAATTCCAATGCTTACGACTATATTTGAGGATATGCCGCCTAGCTAGGACTGTTAGTTTCCTTAGATTGTAGTGGTCAATACTGGCCACATTTTGTCCATATGACACATGAAACAGATATTATTTTATGTTCAAAGCATGATCTTGTTTATTAGACATTGATTATTAGTGCTTTATGGTGTACTTATGTTGGAAGATGTTACAGATACTACCTGGGTAACTACCTTTTGGGTAGTGAATGCAAAGTCAAGAAACACATTCAATGTTTTTTTTCTTAAGGAATGATAAGGTGATGAACACAATTAAGTCATGAACTAACTGGATAGAACTGCTCACGAAATCTATCTGTCTGTTTTCGACATAGAACTTTGCACAAATGTGCGGAAGTTCAAGTCGCCACATTCCGTGTAGCACGCGAAGCAAGAGAAGAAAGTACAAGAAAAGCATAATAGAAACAGTGAGCAGAGGTGTGAGACAAAGGAGTAATAAAGAAATACAAAACAGTTTCATTGAAGATCATAAGTCACAGGGAGTGGATGCATCTGCACCGGCCACTGAGAACGGATTTGAGCCATATCACCAATTGTTTCCAACCATAGATTTTTACCGTCCCGAGGACCCCAGCCTGGAAGTCTACACCTTTCTACGTGGCTTAGACCAACTGTTGTGGATTTCATTGACTGATGCCAAGTTTTTGTTTGACCGCCGCTAGCTTTTTTCCAGTCTGACCCTATATCCGCTAACATAGCTCGTCGAGGGAGGCGATGGCTTGGCATACGTAACACATGTCCTAACCATCTCAGTCTTTGTAGCTTCACGGCTTCGTCGATTGATTTCCCCTGTTTACCTAGAACTCTACGCCTAACCTCCATATTGCTCACCTTATTATGCCACTTTACACGGGAAATAGAACGCAGGCACCTATGATCAAAGACAGCTCACGAAATATTTTTATAAAGGAATACTGAACTAATGTAAGCGGTAAATTAGAATTTTCTTTATCGTCTACTCATATAAATGTATAATTCCATTTATAAAATAATAATTGAACATCTGTTTTTTTAACCGTAACCTTTTCGTCCCCCACTTGTAAAAAACCGAGGGACGGAAACACATATAAGCATAGTTTTAATTAACTATTGTCGGTTGAAACCTATTTGATATGCTAATCCATTTTTTAAGTAAACACAATAACTTATTGTAAGTGATTTTTTATATTTCTGTATTAGTTAATAGCAAGTCGAGTGAAATTAAATGAACTAGTGCGTCAAGCTGAAGATCCTGATTCTGAAGGACGTCTCAGAATACTTGGTGGAAAAGATCCATCACAGTTACAATTATGGATGAGTTTAGGTCAGTTAGAACGACGTATGGCAGCTAAAGAAGAGGATATGGCAGAAAAAAACCTCACATACGAAGCAGTTTGCCGTCTAGTAGACAGTTTACAAGTTAAAGCGAATGCTGGAAAGTGAGTAAATCTATAGGCGAATAATTTTCTCCTTTACGGGCGCGTAAGCGTTACGAATTAAATTATATATATAGCAAAAATATTCACACAGACATTAAGAAGACAAAAGAAAATTTGAGCGTATTTATCGTCGCATTTTCTGAGCAACACCCTACGTAGTTAAGTTAGGGAGAAACCAAATCCATTCATAGTTCTATTCGGTCTCATCTCGTGGATACAGAACACAAAACTTATGTTAACAAGACTTTCAAAGTCATCTACCGCATACCAACAGATCTTAATGTAACCTTAAGAGTTCGTCTATCGCATATTGCTGAGACTGTTTGTTGGGATCCACATTAAAAAGCCTTACTTATGTATCGAAAAGAAGTCGATTCAGATACTGTCATAACTTTGACCACCAAGGTTTTAATGATCCTCAATTTGTTGTGGAAATTTACTTAAATTTATCTGATATTCTATTTGTTATTACATTTTTATGCTTATTATAACTTAAGCGTCTTTCTTGAACTGTAATTTAATTGATCTTAACAAGTCGGTAGTACTTATAAACGCCAGTGTTATCAGTGACGATTATTCTAGAATATTCTATGTACGTAGACATATATACATATATATAATTATAGAACCACAGTCACATCTGTTGATTTCCCCCTACTTGCCTAGCACGCAATGCCTAACTTCAATATTACTCGCCTTATTATACCACTGAACACGGGAGATAGAACGCAGACACCTAGGACCAAGGACAGTTAGCCTATTCATGCCTTCTACCTTCAATGACAATGTCATACAAACATAAAGGAGAACAGAGCAGACTGCTGAAAAGTACACACGTCCCTCGGTCGATAGCCAGATATCATGTCAACACCAGAAGAGGAAATTATCGGAAAGAATCATCTTTGCTCAAATTTCCTATTGTCTTATATATATATATATATCTTGTTCGTTATGCTTAGTGCAGTGCGTCGGCGGCACAGCAGTTAAGACTCTCGCCGACCATGTACATGGTCCAGGTTTCGATCCCCTACCGACGCACACTTGATACCAATGGTCGGCCTGCCAAATTTGGGCTACCGATATCACATGCTGAAAATTTCATACTTGTATCAAAACTGCAGTGTGGAATCAAGCTATAATCAAAACTTTAAAAACCAAAATTTAATTGCCACATGGATTTCAGACTAATGGTCTACCTTACCTTTCTGCTCTTGTCTTTGAGATGTTCATCCATACCACATGCAGTTGGGATGATTAGAATTTGTTGTTTTTAGTTAGACGTCTTTGTCACATATCTCTTCTCTATTTTCACTCAATATCCTATCATTGAAGGTTTCAGAATGATGGTATTGTAATATCTAAAGACTTAAAGAAGTTTAGATACAGATAAATTAGCCGAATAATGTATGATATGATTATGAACCATAAATTGTGTTCGCAATGTCATCCAATAAATAATACTACTTCATTGCGTATGATATATCCAATAAACATATTAATATGGAATTATATACTACTATCGCAGTGTCCAAGTTTTACACATGTATTAACCTGTGATTATATCACGTCAGAATCGGTTCCTCTGAGTTCCAAGAAAGCTATATCTGCAACTTCTTTTTCTTTCTTTTCTTTTTCTTTTACTTCGGCTATCTCCTACGGGAGGATGAGCCGGCTTCATGAACGTCTTGAATCATCGCTGCCCAGGCGCGGCAATTTGTAAGAGAGTTCATGAAGTTTCATGGGAATTTGGTACGAGTGATGTCCCCAGAATCGCTCGGCCTTTTGTTTGAGAGTGCAGCTCTAGCCTTTACACAGCCAAGTGTGACCTACAAGGCAGTAGGAGTGGAGTAAGGAGTCCACTATCCATTGGCAGCCGGTGACCGGAGTTCGGTTCATACGCCTTTTTGAATGGGGCCAGACATCCAGGACATCCAACAAGCCCTTTGTCCATACGTCTGCCGGTGAGCTCCAGTGAGCTTCATACGCCAGTCGTTGGAGGTTTGGAATCAGGGTTTAGCCATCTCCCCTAGACCGTCATCCAATGGACAGTCAACCCGGTGGAGAGCGCCGGGCATCCGCTTTCGCCCTCTCACTTCGGTGAAAAACACCTCCGCCACGTGAAGGCAGTGAGTAGGACTTCCTCAGGAGAGGCTATGTAAGACGCCCGGTCATATGGGAGCATTTCAAGAGGTGTGCGGAGGGGTGGCCAACCCGCAGCGCAAGGCACCCACCCCCGACCATCCTGAGGCTTTGGAGGCCAACTTCTTTTTCACAGCATCCCAGTGAATAAGGTTGTTGTAAGCTTATTCGATAAAAATCTGACTGATCCATAAGATGTGACAATATGATCATAGTTACTACACAGTTATCAAATATTTTACGAGGTTAAAGCTAAGAGGCAATGAAGTTGCCTTTCTACAACTTTCCCAGAACACATTTGATATTCATGTAGAACAAAAGCGTATTCAGTAAATAATGCAAATAATAAATGATTATACACCATGGGTTTTGTCACGAACAAATATCAGTTAGAGAGATGATTGAAAAACAAAGAACGAACTGGCAAAGTTAGAATTCACGGATCACTGAATTCTAGCCCATATGGCTGAATGGTCAAAAAGCTTGCTCTCGTAACTTGAAGGTCCCAGGTTCGATCCATGGCGAAGTCATCGATGTGCACGGAATAAGAATCTCAAACTAGGACGATACAGCTATCTCATACTAATTGCTTTTCAATGATCTCTGACTAATGTTGGTTTGTTACAAAATCTAACAATTGAAATCAATCATTCTGCATTAAAGTCCACTAAAATTTTAATTGGAATATATATGCCTTATTTTGTATTTAGAGATGATACCTTAACTTTAGCTATCGAAATAAATAAAGTTAAATCATCACTGAAAAACAATAGAAATAAAATGAAAACACTTTATGCAGAACTTATTATTACAGCAGGTGAACGTAACCGTATGAGAAGGTATATTGAGGTAAGCAGACTTTTGAAATGATAAAATGGGTCAATTTATTTTATTATTAAAAAAACATAAGGGAATTCAACATAAACGGAGTTGATGACGCACTGCTGGAGAAGGTGTGGAAAGAGGGCAAAGTAACTAAGGATTGGAAGAAAGGATACTTATTCAAACTACCAAAGAAAGGAGACTTAAGTCAATGCAAAAACTGGAGCGGAATTATGCTCCTGTCCATCCCAAGCAAAATACTAAGCCGTATCATCCTGGAGAGAATCAACCAAGCCCTAGATGAAAAACTCCGACCAGAACAAGCTGGATTCAGGAGAAACAAGTCGGGCATCGATCAAATCCCCATTCTACAGATTATCATTGAACAAAGCTTGGAATGGCAGTCACCTCTCTATCTCAACTTCATCAACTTTGAAAATGCCTTCGACAGCATCGATCGAGAGGTGATTTGAAAACTACTTCGCTACTACGGAGTGCCACCGACAATTATACATCTCATCCAACAGTCTGTGTGGAAGTCAACATCACTCAGCATAAAAAATAAGATCCGGATTTCCAACTCCAATGTGAAGTCAGTGCTACTTACTATACGGATCAGAGACTTGGCCAGCGTGTCATAAAGAGCATCTCAAACAAACTACAAACATTCATTAAAATTTATCTTAACTCAATAATTCTCAAGATCAGATGGCCGGCCAGAAAAGATCAGCAACAGGGATCTCTGGCAATGAGCGAACCAACCCAGCAGGAACCGATTGTGCAATAAATAGGCAGAAAGAAATCGAGATGGATTGGCCATACTCTGAGGAAATCATCAAGTGACATCACTAGACAGGCCATCGTTCGAGTGGAACCCGAGTGGGAAGATGCGAGTTGGTCTTCAGTGCAAGGGTGACTTGGAGGAGGTCATGTGAAGAGGAGATGAACGTATGTGGGCAGACTTGGAGTCAGGTGAAAACTCTAGCAGAGAACCGAACGCAATGGAGACTAGCGGCTGAAGCCCTATGTTCCACTAGGAATAAAAGGAAATAATAATAATTGTGACTCACAATCTTTTACATCAATATTATCGTACTTTAGTATTTCTACTCAATGTCAAACTTTAACAGACACACACACACACACAAGAAAACTGATTGTTATTGTTTATTGTAATTCATATGCATATACGATTGTACAGCTATGAAAATGAAATCGTCATTGAATTCTTTGATTTTACTATGTTAGTTGTAAGATGATTGTAGTGAAACTCCGAAATGATATCATCTCGTGAAATTTGGCTTCTACATGCCTTATTCAAATTAATTTGTTATTTAAAATAGTAAAAGTGCATATTAATATTCAATCGTATTTGAGGTCGCAAAACTAAAATTAATGACTGTTGTCAACTCTTTCTCATAACCTTAATTCAAGGTTATTGAAGGTGATGGAGGCGAGCCACTGTGAATTAATCACATGCATGCCAAACTGTTTGTACAGAAAACAATAGACTTCATCCTTTGTTTATCACTGACTATTTATTTGACCTACTAAAATAGGATTCATTGTTAATATGCACTTTAATTTAACACATGTGAATAATTTATATTTGTGTAAAACTCAACGAAATTAAAATATTTGAATAAAGCGAGAACAACATTGATTTGTGCAGAATAACATGGTACCATCATTTATTTCGTTGGCTTCTCGTCAGCTGCTTACAGCCTAAATAAATTTTCAGGTTTAAGTACAGAAACGTTTTAACGTACTTGCAAATTTTACATGTTGACAGAAAGTTTCACAACTAGTAAACAGTGCTCAGAAATTAAAATAAACTGGACCAACGTTTCATTCGGTGAACTGTGGGCCAAACTTTTTTTCAGGGTAATAAAGAAAATTAAAATATCAGTTATGTACATATACATGTATATACGTTACCTTATATAAATACCTTTTGGTATTTTAACTCTGATTATTCGTCTGAAGATATTCGGACCAGACTGACGAACAAAACTTTGGTATTATTTACTTTGAATCCACTGAAATCCATACAGATATAAATTTGACATCTACCTACTTCTCACTCGGCATCGAATTTTTTTCTCCTCCCAAGGACTGCTTGGGCTATTTAAATATTATTGATATTCATTATGTACTTATGTGATGCATAACTGAGTAATCGTCATGTACTTTATTTTATTATTGGTAATGATTCTGTTGGTTTAGTGTTCGTAAGGAATGTGTTACATGATATCAGCTCGAATTTTGATGTACTCTGAATACTTTGGTATTGGTGTGTGGCACAGCTACATAGGGTGGACGTATCGATATCTGCAATCATGGGCTTCAGAGGATATTCCTAAATGACTTCAGAAGCAAACAGAATCCCCAGATTCCAATAATGGCGAAAACAGGCGACCTAGCTCGTCTATTGCGAAACATATTATAGACACAGGACGAAAAGTGGATGTTTAGACGTCTTTGAAATCTATATATAAGACATGTTTGGGGTGAATCCTAAAGTTTGTGGAAGCCCTAGCAATTGGGAAATTTAAACCTTCCTTGGTAAACTTTGTTTTGATCCCATGGTAGACGTATTATTACGTCCGTTACTTGGTTTGGTAATCTTCACAATTATTTTCACCTTCAATATGTCCTTTTAACTTGACTTAAACTGATTTTGTCACTTCTTAACTCTTTTCTATTTTCATATATATATATATATATATATATATATATATATATATATATTGCTATGACAAGTCCGTGATCAGATTGTTCGAAATTACACGATTCAGACAAATTAATTCTTCTGATTGTTTTTGTCCGGAAAATCCTACTGGAGATTGCTATCAAAGAGACAAGGGAATTGAGAAAACTTGAGGCTATTTGTAAAAGGTTACGATTTCGAGCTAAGACTAGGTAGTCAAGGTGGCATTAGGCAATATTGGAAACCACTAATTGTCACGAGTATATAAAGTAATAAGAAAATCGGTAAAAGTAAAGGAAAGATGGATGTTGTAAATCGCTAGGATAAAGCACATAGGAAGAGTTTCTGTGATGACAGTGGTCGTGGAGAACTGCTATTCAGGTAGAACAACAATACTCTGTTGAAATTGTGTATATCAGTTGAAGGTACGCAACTAATCAGTAAATGAACCATCAATCTTAAGTGATTTCTACTAAGGTTATATATATATATATATATATATATATATATATGAACGTGAAGGACAAGCTACCACTACTGGTCTCATCAATATGTATCTAACAATTTACCTGCTCGTGTGGAGGCAGGTATATCGGCTTTACCCAGCGTTCACTTTCCAAACGTATCATCGAACACTTACCAGCATGGTTTTACAAGAGAGAAAAAGGATGCTCCCCGCAGCTCTATCTTAAAACATCTGACAGATTCCGGACATCGATAGGTAAATTCTACTTCTTTGTCTCTTCATAAATATTATTTTGTCTTTCGAATTGTAATATTTTACATTTTCAACCTTCTTGTTCTCTGCCCCAACCCGATTTAATTTCTGCATCCCACTACCACTGTTACTGACTTGACCAACGTTGAATTTCAAGTCATTTATCCAATTTATTTGCTCAATTTTAGTTCTAATTTAAATGGCATTATTCTCTACCCCATTTCCACTTAGTCTCTACCTGTAATTACCTCTGTTGTTACCCTAACCTAAGTTGAAACATTTTAGTCAATTACATTGCGTCATCTAACTTACTAACTCTAGCTTATTTTAGTTGCTGTCTAACTGACTTTGTTTCTATACTAGGTCATTATTGTATTACCTGATTATCTAAACTTAACAAACCTCATATATATATATATAAATGCGATACCACAGCTATGTGAATGAATTCATCAAAAAGAGTGTCTTCGCTGAACGTCTTCTCTTTTTCACATATAGATGAGTTGGTTAAAGCACTAAACATTTTGAAGTATATATTGATCATTTTCCAGTAACCTGAGTAATAATTTTTATCTGTCTAAATCAGAAGTTGGAACATCATCTTGATATATGTGAAATATACAGAAGTAATGGAGACGAGTATTCTGCTAACATAGAACACCTTCTCTTAAAACATTCACACTCTGATAGGACTAAGAAGAAAAGGAAATTGAATAAACCTTTGGGGCCAACAGAAGTAAGATGACAGAAGCTAATTTTAAAAATACCTTTGTGAATTGATTCTCATTTTTATGCTATAAACTGATGATGTTATGAACAATTACTATTTTTAAATTAATTTCTGAGAGACCACTTTACAAAAAAAGCTATGATTTTGCATATCAACTGGTCAGAAATTCAGTCGCCTTTAACAAATTTAGTAAAACTTGTAAGTGGCAATGAATAACTCAAATTTATTAACAGAAAATCTTTGAACGTGTATCACAAGTTATGAATCAGTCTGCAATAATACTTACTATAGGCTTCTTGTATTCTGACTTTCATCAACAAGAGGAAACTCATGCTTTCTTTGTGACTGTAACCTGACTGAAATAATAATCTCGAATATATATCTAAATATTAGGTAACAATTTTATGTTATCTAGCTCAGAAAATACAGAACACTAGATTGACAAATTGTTATCAATAAATCACTCACTTTGGATACTTATGTTCTTGAGAAAAATAGAAAGGTATTATCAATGTAAAATATAGTATCGCCACAAAATAGTTCATATTATTGCTGTGAGTCGGTGGTACAGCGGTTGGGACTCTCGCCTACCATGCACATTGTCCGGGGTTTGATCCCCGGCCGACGCACACCTGATATCAATGGTTGGCCTGATAAATTTGGGCTACCAATATCACATGCTGAAAATCCCATACTTGTACCAAGAGTACTGTGTAGTTCCAAGCTGTAATCAAAATAAAATTTCAAAAAACAAAATCTAAAAGTACAGAAAAAAGGAAGATATTACCTCAAAGTTATGTAAATCTAAGTTAGTTTAATGTTATTACTTAATTTGAGAAAAACTAAGTACATCTAATCAAATGGTAGGAAGACTAAAGCGAAGATATAATATGAATGTACTTACCAATCTGTGATTGATTCTGAGTCAAATTACCTCATGTCTTCAAAACAAAGATTTAAAGCATCGTGTAGTCCCCGTTGATGACCTCTTTACACCCTCTACAGATGAAACTGACTGTTAATAACCTAAAGGACTGGTGACCAATCTTAGTCTCACCATCTTTCGCTCCCCCTAACTTGATCATACTTAATAGTACATAGGACGTGCAAATAAACTAAGGGGACCAGTGCATACATATGTCCCAGTCACTTCAGGAGGTGGGATGATGGTAAACTTTAGCAACCCATATACCAAAGAATAAATAGTTAGAGAGACTAGAGGTGAAAGATGAAAGCTAGGTACCTGTTTTCAGAATTTATCAATAATGTGACAGTAGAGAGCGGTTTATGTAGGGAGCATTGTCTCAACTACAGGAGTAACAGACGAAGATGTCAAATAAGAATCGGGAAGATGAGAAACACAAACGTCAAGTCAGTCAGCTCTTCTATACGGATCAGAAACTTGGCGGGCGGGTCACAAAGAATATTTCCAACAGCCTGTTGCAGACCTTCATCATCAACAACTATCTTCGCTCTATACTGAAGATCAGATGACCGGGCCGGAACGAATCACCAACAAGAAACTATGGGAACAAACAAAACAAGAACAAACCAATCGCCAACCAACAAATACGCAGGAAAAAGTGGAGATGGATTGGACATTCGCTGAGGAGGCCACTGGGTAAAATAGTGCGCGCGTCAGGCCATTGCTCGAGTGGAACCAGGCCGAAAGGGAAGCGGCGAGTGGGACGTCCAAGGGTGAGTGACATGGAGGAGATCGTGTGAAGAGGAGTTGAAAGAGTATGGACTAACATGGATGCAGGTGAAAAGCACAGCAGAAGACAGAAGCAAGTGGAGACGTGCAGTTGAAGCCCTATGTTCCATTAGGAACCCAAGTGAACAATAATAATAATAATAGTGGTCGTTTGTAGTAGTGTCCACTTACAGTAAGACCTGCATTCACACCTATACTAACGAAATAGGCTGGAAGTTATACGACATGTTCTATATCCCTAAATGTAGTGCTAGAAAGTATGTTTACTGAAAGATTATGACAAAAATATATCTGTTAGTAAATATAACTATGCTCTCTAAAATTCTTCAGATAAAACCGATGAGGCCTCCAGGAACAATGCCAAACAGATACAATTCTATATCTACAGTGGGTCTTAGAACTCAGAGTATCTACACAAACAACAATACAACGAAAACTGAAAGTCTAAATAAGAACCAGTCCGCGGATCAAAACCAAAAGACGAATGAAAGTAGGTAAGTATATAAAAGCAGACTGTTCTTCTCCATACACTAAGTATAAAGTCCGCTACTTCACCTATGAGGTCATATTTTTTGTTTATTTCATTCAATATATGCCATACTTCAATGGAGGTAAATTACCATATCTGCGCTCCCGAACTGTATAGTTCCCTATTTGTAAATGTAAGGGAAACACGTTTGCAGGCTCAACTTACACTAAGAAATTATGTATGTCAGAACTCATTTTCCTAGAAGAGAATTATTATGTACCAGAGTATTAGTCACATTTTATTATGACACACTATTACTGACAAGCTGAAGTAGACAGGAGAGGTTCGAACCCAGGGACTAAGAGCTGTAGGTCAAATAATTAAGCCAGTGAACTACATCTCTACTAATATGAAGCCAAAACTGCTCAAAACGAATACGCGGTATCTGTCACTAAAAGATAATTTTCAAATGTTGGGTTTGTGAGGATTTCACCACAGTGAAAACTAAACAACAGTCTCCTAACCCATGGGATCCGGATTACTAGGTGACAGGTTACTATTTAGTAACTTGGTTGGAACTCAATGATCCATGAATTCTAAAGCACCAAATAACTATAAAAGCGGGTCTAAAAGTTGTGTAATAACTTTTGGATTATGAGCAATAAATAGTGTACGGAAACCACCCAATAAAGAACACTATATTACTGAGCTTTATCACATAAACAAACTAATATGGGATCATAGACGACTGGATCGCTGGAAAGAGCATTATGAGGGACAGTTTAATTGGCCCACAGCCATGCTCAACCTTCCGAACATCCAACACCTCCCTGAATGGGATTTAAACACAGGTCCTCCATCCCTAACTGAGGTTACTAAAGCTGTTACCAATCTGAAACTAGGCAAAGCAGCGGGACCTGATGGAATGACTCCAGAGGTATTTAAGTACGGTGGAGACAGTTTACTGTCTGCATTAACTGAGGTTCTAGGCAGCGTCTAAGAATCAGGAATTCCCATCGGGTTGGTGTAAGTCACTGATTATCCACATATACAAGAAGGAAGACAAGTCTTCTTATGACACTCACAGAGGGATTAGCTTGACTAATATAGTATCTAAAGTCCTAGGCTCAATAATCATGCATAGACTAAGTGGTGCTCGGGAGGCACAAACACGAGAGAGCCAGGCAGGCTTTAGACCAGGAAGAGGGTGTATTGATCATATCTTCACCCTCCGACAGATTCTAGAACATAGGAATTCCTACCGGCGTCCAACAATCATTATATTCCTTGACCTAAAGGCGTCATTCGATTCTGTCGACCGAGAAGTTCTCTGGAGATGCTTGGCTGTAAAGGGAATGCCGAGAAAATACATTGCACTGATTAAGGCACTCTACTCGTACTCATACAGCCAGGTGAGGGCTTACGGCGAGTTGTCATCTGAACTGGTGACGACTATTGGTATCCGTCAAGGATGCCCATTATCTCCTTTTCTATTCAACTTCATCATAGATGTGTTAATGGACTTAACCCTAAGTGACTTCAGCGACTCAGGGATTGACTTGCTACCGGGGAATAATCTCGTTGACTTAAAATATGCAGACGATATAGTCCTCCTAGGCGACGACTCTGACAAAATGCAGAGTCTTCTAAACACCTTGAGCCGCAATCTACGAATGTTTGGCATGCGATTCGCTCCCGCCAAATGCAAGATGATGTTACAGGACTGGACTACACCGACGCCTAGTTTAAAAATAGGAAGTGAAGTGTTAGAGCACGTTGACCGCTTCACTTATTTGGGAAGTACCATCAGCGAGTGCCAACGGGTTGATCTCTGACGAAATCTCAGCACGAATACAGGGGGCTCGTTTCGCATTTGGCAGTTTACGCCGTCTCTGGCGTAGACGAGATGTTCGACTATCGACCGAAGGGAGGGTGTACTGCTCATCAGTCCGCTCCGTCCTCCTTTATGGTTGTGAGACCTGGCTACTGAGAGTGGAAGACATGAAAAGACCAGTTGTCTTTGATCATAGGTGCCTACGTTCTACCTCCCGTGTAAAGTGGCATAATAAGGTGAGTAACATTGAGGTAGGCGTCGAGTGCTAGGTAAACAGGGGAAATCAATCGGCGAAGTCGTGAAGTTACAAAGACTGAGATGGTTAGGACACGTGTTACGTATGCCAAGCCATCGCCTCCCTCGACGAGCAATGTTAGCGAATATAGGGTCAGGCTGGAAAAAAGCTAGCGGCGGTCAAACAAAAACTTGGCACCAATCAATGAAATCTACAACAGTTGGTCTAAGCCACGTAGGAAGGTGTAGACTTCCCAGTTGGGGTCCTCGGGACGGTAAAAATCTATGGTTGGAAACAATTGGTGATATGGCTCAAAATCGTTCTCAGTGGCGCAGATGCATCCACTCCTTGTGACTTATGATTTCCAATGAAACTGTTTTGTTTTTCGTTATTACTCCTTTGTTTCGCACCTCTGCTTACTGTCTCTATTATGCTTTTCTTGTACTTTCTTCTTTTGCTTCGCGTGTGTGGCGACTTGAACTTCCGCACATTTGTGCAAAGTTCTATGTCGAAAACAGACAGACAGACAGAATATGGGATCAGATGTGAAACTTATATTCTTAAGTACATGATTGATTGATATTTGTACGTAGAAAGCTTGAAATTATAAGTTTAATACACCACTCTACAGTTAAGACAAACCTCATCTGAGATCCTCTTTAATAACGCGAGCAAGAATACTTGGTTACACAATCTAATGACTTAAGTGGAACAAAAATGAAATTATAACTTGACCATCAGGAAGCAGTCACAAAATAATGAATCACTATGCAGCACTGCTACGATTTAATCAGCCAAAAGACTTTTTGAGCGTATATGCATCAAGTTTCTGTTGCACACCAATGTAACTACCAAGTTATAATAAAAGCTAATAAATGGGATCTAGAAAAGTGACTGTCGGTCTCCAATTGCAGAGTTTTTACCATTGTATAAGTCACATGGAAGTACCCTACAGGTGCTCAATATCACACATGTGAGACTAGTAACTTCATACAACGGTAACTTGCCTACCTTCAAAATTCCTCCACTGTGGTTCCACATTACATTCAAAATAGGAAATCCAGATAAATAAAGTTTCAGTAAATAATGCATCCGCTTCGGTGAATGAGAAACAAACTGACTAATCCTCTTCATTTGGAAAGCCAACTGAAGCTAATTTAATTCATTCTCAGATATTCTCTATCTAAGTGCTTTAGTCTAGCAAAGTAAAAGTATTTCTAGGTTAACTGGCTTTAAGAGGCTGAAAATTACCCAGAGCACCATATCGAATGACAACTGCTCAACCATATATTTTGACTCACTTCGGAAGTACCGTTCATTATTGTAAAAATTTATCCAAAATCGGATTTGTTTAATAATATAAGCATTCTTTTTAATAGTAGTCATAAAAGTAACCCCAGAAATCATTATTCTTATAGACTGGTTAAACTTCCATCACTTTGGCCAGGAAAGAAAAATTCTGTAGTGAAAAGAATGAATCAAACTGAAGATAGAAACGTACATTGTCCAGAAATAACAAACCTGCCACTGGAAAATATCATTTCAATAAGAGTAGTTACCCCTTATACAATAAGTTATAAACAAAAACCACAACAGCAACAACCAGAATTATCCATTTTATGCATTAGAAAACAAAAGGTGGAGAAATCAAACAATAAGAACGAAATTGATGATTCAAAAGCCAGTAGTTCTAATGACGAGATATCTTTTGCATCATTTAATTCAGAATTTCAAAAGTTGACTTGGCGAGACAATGATTTCGATACTACTTATGACCCTAGTAAGATGAGTAGTGATTACAACAATGATGTAAGTCAATGTGAAATTACAACCGACCAAGATGGTAGTGATGGTGATGATGAAAGAGAAGCATAAGTGTTTAACCAACCAATTACAATAATGAAAAAGAAAATTTTCTTTCAGTTCTATGCACGATATATTTATTACTCAACAATAAACAGCACCGTTACACATAGTGTTCAGTAGAATACACAACGTGTTCTATGCATTGGAATCGCAGCCTCAATTTCATCAGAATGTGAACGTCGATAATTCCATAAGAAATTATCTACTAGAATTGAATTACAATCAACATTTTTGCTTTTCAAAGATTTTACAATATTCTACAAAGTAAAGGAGACAGGAAACAAATTATTCAGAAGAAAAACAAAATTGGATTATGCTGATTTCACTTCCCTGGTTATTCAGAATTTTTATGCATTCTGAACAGAAGAGTGAACAAAAACTCAATACAATCATTTTAATGTGTACAGGTCATACACACATATTTTAATAAAGTATGTCCAATGGATATGAGTTATTATTTCTATCATTAAATAATAAATATATCTTAGTCTCTTCTATTTGTTTATACGTAACACACTTTTCCCTCAGTTGTTTGAAATATTCATGAAAATAACGTGCACCAGAATTTATACATAAACTTTACTTATTTCATTGCGAAATGACTGACAGGTGAAACTAACCAGTGATTGAATATGCTATGACGACTAATTTTTTAAAATTATTTTCTTGGTAGAATTTGGCACCGAGAATATGCGCCACAACAATAATAAAACATATGAGAAAAAGTAAAAAAATATAGCTAGGGAACAGATAATGAACTTCATCTGGAAGGAAAAAAGCCATATTTAATAAGTTCCAACAGCATTCGTCAATTGACAACGGGAGAGAAAGAAAGAAAAAAATTAAAGTATGTTCGCCATTGACTACGATTCTTGGCCATATACGATAACGTTTCGAGTCACCTATTCAAGCTATCTCTTGGACTCTAACCAGGGATTCGTGATGCAACAACTGATACTAACCTAACACAAATAATCTCTATCCCACGATGCCACATCATGGGCTGACCATCTCTCCAATTTGTCCATCCCGTCCCAGGGCTAGTAGATAGAGACCTGTACGGAAACCTCTGGGATGACATTTGCAGCACATGTCCAGGCCATCGAAGCCGATGTTTCCAGATGACGACAATCAACTAATGGTGATCTCCACTGTGAGCAAACACACGCCGCCAGACCTTAGAATTACTCACACGGTGATGCCATCAAACGCAAGCAATTCTGTGGAGACAGAGATGATCGAATACATAGAGTCGCCGCACACCCTCAGCTCGAAGAGACCAGGTTTCATAGGCGTAGAACAAAACAGCGTGCAACGAAGCATCATATACTCAACATTTAACAGCTAAATTAACGTCGCAACGGCGCCAGAGGTGTCTCTAGTTAACGTAAGCCACCCTAGCTTTCATGATACGGTCGGAAATCTCATCCGTTACCCCTCCACTAGTGCTCACACAACTATCCAGATACACAAACTTATCAACAACTTCAAGCGGTTCACCTGCAATAGTGGGTGCACGAATAGGCTGGGAATGCAGACAAAGGCGAAAGGCTGATGAAAATGAAGACGCCAAGGTTAGTAGAAGTAAAATACAGTAATCTATGTAAAAAATAAAAATAAAGTTGAAAGCAGATGCGTCACTTGAAACATCATTATTGCTCGAGAGCATTGTTGAAAGCATGCAATTAGTTTCACTGACAGTTTGCTGTTTCATTTCGTTGATTGTGTGAGGGCTGAGATACCGCAAGGGTGCCCAGACCGAAGCAGGTGGTTGTCTTAAGCGACCACTCCCCAAGGCAGCGGAACAGCGTCAGGAGCCACGTTCCCATGGTTGCCGGTGACCAATACAGGTTCATAAGTCATTTGATTTGGATTCTGGAGTCTATGTACCCCATAGTAACTGCTTTTAGTCTAACCGCTATCCAAACAACCTTCCTGACATGGTAGGACCTGCAGGAACATGAATCCCAGCCAGTGTAGCTTGTTGGGTCACTGCGGTATTCAAGCCCGACCACCACAGCAAGGTAGCAGTTGTCAGACGACTAATAACGTTTGTGAGAGATCATTTTACGTATTAAAAACATTCTGAATTTCACAAACGCATGAGCTTGAAATCCGGTCTAGCTGTAGGCCACAACCCGATCAAAACGTTTTTATAATTAATTTAAAAGTGACAAGCTCTATGGACAGCATTTATAGCTCTCATCCAATTAAAAATATTGTTTGTATTAGGGCAAATAACGTCAAATCACAATCATTAACAAAAGATAAAAATACTTTTAGTTACCCCCCAATTATTATTTACAATTTACATACAAATGTAATATAATACCACCATACCGTAAGAAAGACAGCATAGTAACCATAAGTCATGGTGGCTAAGTAGTGGCAGCAGTAGTACTTTTCAAAACCACTTCAGTGAGTAGCTTACCTTCACCATTGAACCAATGGTGATCAATGTTTGATTGTTCAGCTAACATTGAAATAAGTGTATTTCACTAGCGAATTTCATTAGGATCAAAGCATATAAAGTGTCAACTTAATGATTAATTTAGCTATTTGTTACAAAAAAAAAGATTATTCAGAAAAAGATACACAACATTTACTCAACGATGAATATCACAGGTTTGCTTACATGAACAGCTAAGATTGTTGCAGCTCGGATTTCCACTTCGAACTCGCTTCCGTTGTCAATTTCTTCACCTGATATATTGTAAGTTAAGAAGTAAATCAATCACTTCTAGGTTTCTTCAATATTAAGATCGTTAGAAGATTAACAATGAAGCCAGTCACTCAACAGATTTAGGTCAAATTTCAATCAGAATTTGTAGGATAATATTTAGGTCAAAAGCAAACCTTATCATAGACTGGCATCAACTTTAAAACAGTTGACAACTTCCAAATATATCTGGGCCGAATCTACTAAATCTGATATTGTGCGTTATTTTCTCGCAAGTAAAGTGTGCAAAACATACGATGTACAACAGTTTTCAATCTATTACGAATAAACGCTTAGAAACGAGATTTTCGCGACCTTGTGAGTAATCTTTAAATGACACATTGAAATTCATTGTGGACACCAACACACCATGCGTGACATTTTTTTTGTGTGGCAATATTGTACCAAGTTTGCATTTTAAACATAAATACATTTCTAGATGTCTTATTTAATTTACAGAGGGAATCATGCACTATGGTTAAAACACTTTCCATGTCGGCTAATTTCTTAACTGTATCACATACAGAAACACGATCATCATTCACAGATATTTTAGGGTTTCATTGCTTCCCTAAACATTTTCAATGGGTTGTTATCAAAATTGAAATTTTCTTTACGACAGCATGAAACTCAAACAATTCTAAGTGCTTCTAATATCCATGGGATGTAGCCCACCCGCCACTGTAACAGTTACTTAAAATCCTGATAAATCGACCAGCTTTTATTTGGTTAACTTGATTTTAAAAGTAAAATGCCCAACAACTCATTGTGACTTAATTATGAAATCTACTGATCATTGTGTTTTGGCTTATTGGATTAGGCACTTAGCTCTTAAACAGCGGATCACAGGTTCAAAGACCGCTACATCTACCAAGATTTGGACGACTAGGTAAAACTATTCGCTCAAACACAAAAAGTAGGGCTTATTACTCAGTGCAAAGTGGTTGTTGCATAAAGCTTTCACTCATGGACAAAGGAACATTGTGACATATGAATATATAAAGGTTGCACACTTCATAATGTAAACACGAAACTATATTATACAAAAATTACCGTTACGTATCTTCGTGATTAGGTCTTCACTATACTGTATTACCCCAAAATAATGTAACACCTGTGGAACTCTACGTGTGGTTATGCGTCTATGCAGAAAATTGGTACCTGTAATCAGCAAAGGCAGTGATATCATCTGCATCTTGGAAATATCCTGGTCCCTTCCCTCAAAACACAGCCACAAGTCACCGACCAAAATCTGAGCACGTTTCATGAAAGAGACTGGAAGTCATTAATATAGGCAAGATATACCATTTTTTCCTTTGTAAACTGTGTAATCTCGGAAATTAGGGAAGTAATCACACAGTAATGTTAACAACTTTGAAGCCGATTTGTCACACTTGATCAAAACATTCTTGAATGCACCACTGAAATTCTCCAGCAAAGTTTTTCCCGCATTTTGTAAAGCAACCAATCTTTCATGAAACAAAGGGATTGATTCAGTGGTACATGACCTAAATATATGTTTTAATTGTTCATCCGATATATTTTGATAAACGGTTGGGTTAAGAATATCTATTCCCTCCTAAAATTTACAGAAGTGTTAGATCAAACAAATGAATTACATCCATAGCTCGATTAACAGCTGCACATAGGGCCCAGTAACCCGTGTACACGTTACCTTTATATAAAACCTCAAATTGAGCGTCAGTGTTACTCCAAAATGAGAAGTTGAGCAAACTTGTCACGAATATCCTGAGTTGTCATAAAGACATGCATAGTAAACATTACCATTCAATAGCTTGATCATCTGCAGCATTAGGTGTTAATTCATGCTTGAGCCAATTCTCTGGAGTCAGGGGGTGATCACGACATCTTTCCACTAACTTAATCGCTTATAACGCTACTATTTCAACCTACCAGGTTCATCACTCTTTGAATACCATCGTTGTTGATACTCACATGTTTGGAATTTTGCATAATAAACATGGATGAAGGGAGAGGAGGTAAATGGTCCATGTATCCCATGTTATTGACGACTAAAACTAATAAATGAGAACAAAAACTACTTACTATCTGGAAAAATGCATGAAATGATATACTGAAATATGACTGATGGGCGTTAAAGCATAAAAAATATCTTGTACTGAACACAAGAAACATAATTACAATTTCCCCAAACGGAAGTGTGAAAGACAAAGTGAGAAGGCATCGCTTAGCATGTGAGGTAGTTGGTCAGTTAAAGGGATGCAATGCTGGTACGAACATGAATCCGTTGTTCTTACTGCCACTATATTTTGTAGTTGGTTCTCACTATTTATTATACACAAACAAGCTAATGGAACTCTTATGTTTTACGCTTACCCATTAACACCAGAGATTTGAGTGACTACAGTCTTTACTTTTTTCGCCTTTGTCACCTTCCAGTGGCCACGTACGTTGCGAATACGGTTTGTACTCACATTCCAAAAGAATACTGAGTGCTAGGGGCTCCTGAGGTGTTTAAAGACGCTGATGACAAATTGCTATCTGGGTTAACTAGGGTATTAGGTAATGTCTGCGAGTCAGAGATAATCCCGTTGGGCTGGTGTTAGTCGTTAACTATCACAATATGCAAGAAGAGTGACAAGCCCTCCTGTGATAATCAAAGAGGGATAAGCTTGATTTATGTGGTATCGAAAGTACTAAGCTCAACAGTCATGCGTAGATTACGTGGAGAGACAAACCCGAGTAGGCCAGGCCAGTTTTAGGCTTGGAAGAGGGTGTAATGACTATATCTTACACTTAGACGGATTTTGGGACATAAGAATACTTATCCGCGTCCAACAATTACCATATTTCTTGACCTGGTATTCAACTCTGGAGACTGAAAGGCACTATGTAAATTTTTGGCTGTGAAGCGAGCGCCAATAAAATACATCACACTAATTAACGCACTCTACTCGAACTCACACAGGCAGATAAGAGATTTTGGAGACGGTAAAATTTTTGTTAAGGAGTTCGTAGCGCCGGCCAAACAGACTTCCTGCTTGCTACACTCAACAGTATTGGTTATACAGTTAGGAGGTGAAGAAACCACTTCAGGAGAACAAATAGAAATGGGAGGGTGACATACAGGAAAATTCCATAGGTTTACTGGTGCGCGAAAGGATGTTATTTTGTTCACAAAACTTCGGTAGTTCCTCCGCGGAGGCACAAGAGAAATGGCAAAAGCATCTCTGTGATATTATTATGGGTCTCAAGAAAGCTACTAGACGTCAGAAACACGTTATTATTACCGTATACCTCTTTTGAAAGTGAAGTGATAGATCCCACCGATAAGGGATACATACGGATGTAAACATTTGTAGGTGGTTAACCTTTTTCAACTACCGCTTATGCCACAAGGAAGCAATGATACTACATAGTGAATCTGAAATTTAGGTACCGAAATAAGGTAGCTGAAGTGACCTTAAATGCACCAGTCACTAAAATCTGTGGTTTCTACGTGTATATATATATATATATATATATATATATATATATATATATATACTTATGAGGAAACGATGGGTGAATGGTATGAAACTATTAAACATGTTAACTTTCTCTGACGTATGATCAAAATGTCTCTTGACTGGTGTCAATAAATAAGTTTACTATATTCTATATGTGTTCATCCATATCTTCTATACTCCACCGAAGCCCTAGTATTTTATCAACTAAATCCTAAAGCAAAACTAAGTCTAGCTCGGACCAAATCCAATATCTCCCCTATTAGGCTAAACTAACTCGAACCTGTCCTTCAATCCTTCCCAAAACAAACTTAAGATCTAACTTACACTCCAGTGAATATCATAACACTTCAATCATATTTGATTCATGATACTAAACTAGTTTGACTGGTCTTAGTTACTTGCTGGCTGAGCGTTTCAAGAGTCGTCGGTGCAATTGCATTTTCTCGGTAACTTTCAGTGTCTTGAAATGTAACCTTGTTACTCTTCTGTCATGTGAGGTGCACTAGGAAAATTCGTGACTGTTGGGTATTCATGTTACTTCTAATAAAACACAACTAAGAACTTAATTTGTACGAAAATGAGCAAAAAGTGGTCAAATAAAAGTTATAATGGGAAGATTTTAGGCAAGTCCCGGTTAGATAATGAGCAATTAACCACCATAATCGGGCAAGTGGAAAGAAGGATTGAATGATGGTTAAATAATAGCCTTAATAATACCGTAGTCTTGATCAAACAATGATAAAAATCCTATCATGCAGTCAGAATACCCTCATTTTCTCAATGTAAACTTATGTGGATCAGGCATTGCCTATTATTCATCAGGTTTTTACCATTTTTTCCACCCAAGATTTTTCGAACTTCGTAAAAACCAACCCTCATGATTCAAAGTGTTTGCAGAAAGCTCTTCGGCTTTCTGTAATTGTGCCAAAGTCTTACAAAAAAAAACTAAAGTATACTAAGACAGACATGCGACCGACCACTGACCTTCAAAACCGAATCAAATTGCGCTCGAAAAACATAAATTATACTCGCGAACACCAACATAAGTAGTCAGGAAATAGGGACTCCCGTCAATCCAGATAAAATATAACACAATTTTATCAAAATTTAATGGCAAAAAATTTCCAAGCGAAATTTCAACAGAACGCGATATATAAGTCCAGTCCGTGATTAGCTGTACAATTCAACCGTGAAAATTTTGGATTTAGAGTGAATTTCAAGATTAGATTGTGTGAAAAAAAGTTTTGTCGGTCTTAGAACGATTACAAAGTGATGGCAGAGGAGGGAATAGGATGAATCTGTGCCACTGAAGCTTCACATTCTACTTGAAAAACACTACATCTCCAATTTATCTAGTTCACCGTGGTCACATCCAGCTGGCCCCACTGTTTCTTGTATGCATTCATATGCTCCTCACACGATCTACTCCATGTTACTGTCGGATACCCAACTTCTTACTTACGATTCAGGCCTGGAAAATTGTGTCACTCAATGGCTTTTCAGTAAGCTTTTCTCATCCACTTGCATTTTATTCACAGTACTTTTGGTACTAATCTTCCCAAAGCAAAATTCAACCATGGCTTGTGAGCTACCAGAGGAATAATTTATGAAACGATCACTAGATAAAGGTGAATTTCGGCTACCATGACTCAAACGTTAAACCAAAAATTTAGGTGCGTGTATGACGTTTTTCTGACAATAAGACGAATCGGCTCACAAGACATTCGCAGCCTTAACAACAGCATCTTCATCTGGAAAGGAGCAATCCGGGAACAAAATCCTATTTATTGACGTTTTAGTCATGCTAACAACTACAAGAAAGTCAGAGAATCTAGTAAATAAAAAATCAACCAAGATAAAATATTTTACGTTAAACGGTAGCAGCCCAACAACATTCTTTTGAAGAGCCTGGAGGAACAGTAGAAATGCCTTAATACTGTCTTCCGGAGAGGCAGTTTTCTACGATATTTCGTCAGAAAAAAGAACTTCTATCCGGCGACAAATGGGACACCTGAGTGCTACTTGACGGGAAACACCTAACACGAAGAGTCATTGCGAACCTAAAGAAGAATGCATCAGAAGTCCTGCTAATACAACAGTCTGTTGTTAACATATATTCAGACATCTAAGGGAATGAGGCATTTCGTTATACAAAAGACCCGGCAAAACAACAAACAGTAATATACGGTACCCCAGGAGAGATGACTAACAACATAGGTGAGAAATATCTACATGATATGCACCAGTAACCGTGGATGTCCAGACAGCTGTAGCTGAGGAGAATCATCCGTAGACCACTATATCCGAATTCAACACACCACGACTTTTTGCAGTAACTTTCGGATGTTCAAACAATGGGGACGACGATTAAGAACAACATAACTGTAGCATACTATGACTCGATACCACGCATAGCTACATGAAGTTAAGGGAGAAACGTGATGTCCCAAGCTCTATCCCACTGAGCACTCAAAGTTGTCCCTGATGACATCCGAATACTCCCTCAAAAATGGAGCAGAATCGGTTCCAGCGGGACGGGACGACATGAAATATTTGCATTAAGGAAGATATCGGAATGGCTATCAGCGATAACCACAACTCTCCAAAAAAGAGCTCTCCGCATCAACAGGAACACTGAGTTTTCTCAACAACAAACTAAGGCGTCGTTTAAACGCAAGTTCATGGGGAAAGAGTCATAAGTCATTTCAAGCCCCAATAAATCTTAATCGTACTCAAGTTAGGGAGATGGAAGGACGTTTCAAGTAAACCCAGCTATGAAAATGCAGCCGGCTACAAGAACATTTTCTTCGTGAATGTAAAATGTTAGGTCACGAAAAATTCTAACTTATGTTGCGGGATACAATGAAAAAAAAACTTGTGTTTGAGACAAAAATGTACCAGAAGCGCAGTAAATTGGGTGGGTTGCGTCAGTCATGTTATATAAAATGAGTTAGCAGATATTTCGGCAATCTCACAATCTGTCCAGAACGTTTTGACTAAAGGTTCGGTTACCTTTGCGTGCTAGTAATTTCTTCGAGGATTAACGGGTGTTCAGTTTCCTGCGTGTAATTGGGTACGCTCAGTTTGAGGCTCATGGGATTACCTTCTAAGCATGCCAGTTCCAGACGATCGATACTATCATGGTCTTCGCAACCCTCTTTGTCTAGAGCAAAGAAGTTATCCATATATTTAATCACTTTACGTGGTTCACCGTATGGGGGTTTCAGAAGGCAACGCACTGAGTCACGACGAACAAATGCACATGTAAAAGTTTTCAGACGAGGATAAACAAGGACGTCTATGGTCTGTGGTCGAGGGAGGCGGTTAGCAGGTCTAAATGAACGCGTTGTGTTTGTTAGCCTGCTTACGTACGAGACGTAGTCTAACGCTGATGGAAATCTAGAGACAGAAACAAACTCGTCTGACAGTCGTAGTGTTGTGGCGTAAACTAGCTCAGAGAAAGTTCAACCAGCATTTCGCCTACCTAAGAGAAGTGATTCAGTCCAATGTAGATTGTTGGCAGCTAGCAACCCAGCCTTCAGCTGTCGGCGGAAACGTTCTGCCGTACCATCGGACTGAGAATGGCAGGCTGTTTTCCTAGAACACATACAACCTAGAATTTAGGTCAAGGTTAAGAATAAGCCGCTTTTGAATTGCCGCCCACAATCAGTTGTTGTGGGGATGGACGTCCAAAATTTACTATCCATCGTTCTACAAATACGCGTGCGACTTTTTCGGCAGATGGATCCTTGAGAGCTACTGCTTTAGGCCACCATGTAAAATGGTCAGTGCAGGTCAAGATATAAGTATGTCCTTGAGATTCGTGGAGGGTTCAGACTAGATCTATATGAACTTGTTCGAAACGAGCATCAGAGATAAGACAAGTGCCAAGAGAGTTTCTGGTATGTCTTAATACTTTGCACTTTTGGCAAGAGAGTTATGTCTGAACCCATTGTTTTACTTCTTTATTAATACTAGGCCAACGAAACTGACTGGTTATGAGTCTGATGGTAGTTCGAATACCCGGGTGGGATAAGCCATGCAACCTATTGAGGACACCGCGGCGATAGCTTTTAGGTACTATGGGGTGAGGACCAGTCATGGCAGCGTCACATAGAAATGGCGTTTCTTCCTATACTTAAAGGTTTCTTGGCTGATTGCAGAGTTGTTTTCGACAACTCATGTTGAAGCTTGGTATCTTCTTTTTGAAGAGGAGCCTGTTTCGCAAGGTCTATGTCATCTATTCGGATAAAGGAACAAATGCACGACGAGGAACCTGCCATAGTGTTGTTCACCCCAGACACATAGTGAGTATCTGATGTAAACTGTGAAACGTAGTCCAGTTGTCGTGATTCTCTCGGTGGACACTTATTTGACTTTGAGTTAAGAAAGTACATAAGGGGTTCGCGGTCCACTGAGCTTTGGAAGTGGCGTATAGCACAGTACATTGACACAAGTTCTCTGCCGAATATGCTATATCTTGTTTCTGCTAAGTGTAGGTGCCTCGGGAAGAAAGGGATTGGTTGCATCTCTCTGTAGACTAGTTGTTGCAGAATGGCACCGATTTCAGTGCCTGGAGCATCAACTGAGATACTTAACGGGGAAGTTGGGTTCTGATACATAAGAAGGGTGCTATCCGCGATACTTTTTTTAACCTGAGTGGAAGCATTTCGAGCAGATGTGCCGAGTTCGATGAACATGTTATTCCCTCGAAGAAGGAAACCACAGCTAGGAATGAAGCGTTTGTAATAACTTACCAAGCTGTTAAAAGTGCGCAGACTTTTCACTGTCTGTGGCTCCGGAAAGTTCAGTATCACCCAACTCTACTAGCCGGTGGGCGAATACCCTTACAGCCAGTAGTGTGACCAAGAAAGTCCAGTGAATCCACTCCTATCTGTTGCTTCTAAATGTTAATGGTGAGACCATGACAGCGTAGCCTTCCAAATGCCAAGTCCAAATGTCTGAGGTGAGTTTCCTTGTCTGGATTCACAATAAGACAGTCTTCTAAGTATGGGTATACAAAGTTGAGACCGCCAAATACTTCGTCAATGAACCGTTAAAACGTTTGTGCTGCATTCCAGAGACCGAATGGCATGCGTAGGAACTCAAAAGTCCTAAAGGGGTAATGACAGCCGCTTTCTGAATGATATCTGGTGCCATCGGGATTTGCTTGTATGCTCTAACCAAGCCTATCTTCGAAAAAACGGTTGTACCATATGATGTCGCAATCAACTCTTGTGTGCAAGATAACAGGTGGCACAGCGGTTAGGACTCTTACTTACCATGCACATAGTCCGGGGTTCGACCTCCTGCCGACGCACACTCGATTTCACTGGTCAGCCTGCAAAATTTGGACTACCGATATCACATGCTGAAAATTCCGTACTTTCACCAAAAGTACTGTGTGGAATCAAACTATGGTCAAAATAAAAAATCAAGAGTTGTTTGGCGTTCATTCGCCGATAATGACCAGTGAGTCGGCAATCGTTGCTATCTTTTTCGGTACCATATGAAGCGGGGATGCCCATGGGATGTTTGATGACCGAATGATGTCAAAGGTCAGTATATGGCCGTATTCACTTCTAGCCAGTCAGGATTTTTCAGGCGCAAGTCGTCGTGCTTTAGATGTCATGGGTTTTCATGGGGTTATGATGTGAGGCATAACACTGCTGGTTATGGGCGTTACATAGTGAGACGGGCAATTGACTTCAGGGTACTTATCAACAATCGGCTGAAAAATTTCAGCAACGGTCGCCTTCTTCTTAACTAGAGACAAGTTGTGGCCTACGTAAGTGATGCCTTTAATAGACAGTCTAGTGGTACCGTCCATCAGTTGTTATTAGCAGTCACCTACGAGTAAACCATGTTGGTTAAGTAGGTCAGTGCCAATGATAGGTGTAGTGACGTGAGCGAGAGGGGAAATCCAGTGAGTAGGCTTGCGTAAGCCTAAGTTTAGACAGAGGTATTTTCTACCAGAGGCTGCAACCGGTTTACCATTCGCAGCC